ACGCTCAAACAGCTCGTGGCAGCAAACACTCACACAGGCATGATAAAACACACAGAGCGAGATGAACACTCTAGCCACTAATCTAGCTATACACAGACGTTCTCTCACCACATGCCAACGTCACGCATTGGCATTCCAGGTGTGTGAAGAGCAATGTGGATGTTACAGCCGGCCGCAGCTGCAGAGCCAGGCCAATGATAGTCTGGCCACAGGCTTTGTGCTACATTGCCAACCTATCTCTAGAGTGGAAACAAAGGAGATATTTAGGTCATCCACACACTGACCTCTGTTAGTAAGAGCTAAGGTAAGAGGTACAGTGGTAGCTGACTAACGAACTCAATTCACTCGGAGGCACGTAAAATTGCTAATTGGCTATGTTTGGAGCTGACACACCACACACAGACACACCACCACGAGGCAGCGTGAAGCAGACGAGAGGCTGATTACAGGGAGCAGGGTGGTTTGTGTGCCCACACCACTTCAGCCCCGTCCCCCCCAGGCTCTGTATGTACCACGGCATCCCTGCCACCACCCAACCTGCTGGGGTGGGGAGGGGAGAGAGCGGGCGTGACGAGGGAGACGGGAGGAAGGTCCGACGCTCCACCTTACAAGGTACCGACTACACTTCAAATTGAGTCGCGTATATTCACAAATTAGAATGTTAGTTAGCCGAGTACACGAAGCCACTTAACCCACAGCAATTAGCTAGAACCACTAACAAAGGCATCAAGAACAGAGAGTAGTTTTCAAACAAATCGAATGCACGAAGATCAAAGATCCATAGTACTACATACAAAAACACGGTTGCCTCCCTGGCTAACCTCTCCCCCTCTCCCCTCTTCCTCCGCCGATCGGAAGGATTGATGGGCTGAATGTACATGACCAGCACTAATCGCCGAGCAACGGGACGGCTCACAGTATGTGACAACATGACTACGATTAATGAGAGTGGAATGAAGCCTGCCTGGCTACTAATACAGAGCCTCTCCATGCTCCCTTTGCTTTGGTGCTGATGAGCAATTACAATTTTGACAATCAATGTACACGCTCATTCTATGCATAATACCCACTTTAAAAACAATACGATGAGGGTGGTGGTACGGTCACGGAGTGGCGGAAAGGAACGCAAGGAAGACTAAGGTTGTTGAAAATGAAAAGGAACTGAGGAAAAGACACTCCAAATGTTCCGAAGGAAAGTATCTCAATTTTCAGCTCAAATAGGTGATACTAAAAAAATGTTATCTTGAAAGCGGCAAAGGCCCCGCCAATAATTAGTAAAGTAAGCAAATAACAGGGACAACGAAAATGCAGGACACCCATTCAATGAGGTCTCTCCCACAACAAACCAAAAGTCACCTGGTAGACACACAGTACATTGCATAGCGGCAAAACTAACTCAATGCACCTGCCGGCTGCTGACTAGCGCACTAAAAATCATCACGGCCTTTGTGCCTTCTCATCTCACTGAGGAAGCCCTTGTCAGGAAAAACACCTGTATTCAAGGTTTCCTCAACTGGGATATTATGTTGGAAAGGGGCCAGAATAACCTCCAGAATACACCAGGGCATCATGACTCCTCATACTCCCCACCAAACACAGTCCCAGGGGAACATGTGCACATCGCAGCAACACACAATAAACCAGGACCATAATGGACAAACCAAACCTTAGATTCCACAAAATACACAGATTTCATTCGCTAAAAAAACATCATAATAATGTTTTCAACTGGAACCTAAAGATTTACAATTGAAAATTGTGTAAAAACAAATGTTTGCATAATAGCCAGGGAGAGAGCGGCACGGACGACGAGCATGTCGAGTTTTGCAGCAAGAGGCCTTGAACCCCATAGGCCTTGGAGCCGTGTGATCACGCACAAACCAGACACACATGAGAGGGGAAGAGAGCGGTGAAAGGGAGGGCAATAGACAAATACAGAACCAGAGGGAATGGGATGAAAGAGGCACAAAGAGAGAGAAAAAAGAAAGCCGAGGAGGGGGAGAGAAGAGAGGACGGAGGAAGAGAGAGAAATGGACGGGGCAACAGGAAAACGACGGCAGAGGGACAAAAGAAGGCCAGGTGAAAAGAAAGGGAGGGGAGTGAGAGAAAAGGGAGGAAGTTGTCTAACCGTTACAGGAGAGAGATAAACTGGCTCCACGCGTCTGCACTGACACCTATCGCGAGACCATGATTACTTCCTCATCAGGGTCCGTAAGTACTGATGTAACCGGGAACAGCCGCAGGCGCAGGAAGACAGACCGAAAGTAAAGTAGGAGCGAGAAAAGACAGGAAGAATAACAAAGAAGAGAGAGAAGGAGGGAGGAAGAGAGAGTAAGTAAAACCCTTGGGTAGGAAGATAAAAACCACAACAAAACATAGACCTACCGGCATACGGAACATCCAGGTGTAATCACACAGCGACTCGCCTACAATCAACTGAGGTAACCACACAGGGATGCGATAGAGGATACTGAGGTCCACACAAGAGGTGGAGGGATACTGACCTTCACACTAACACATACACTGAGGTCCACACAGATGGTGGAAGGGGGGGGGGAAAAATTTCTGGGGGGGGAAACCCCCCCCCTTCACACTAACACAATACACTGAGGTCACAACAGATGGTGGAGGGATACCCCTCCACACTAAACATGTAATCGCACCTCAAACGTAAGCATACTTTCAGGTTGTTGCAATTCCTCACGCTAACCAGAGCGAGCCGTAAATCAGTTTCCCTCAAATCTTTTCAAATGTAATTAGGGGAGGCATCACAAACAGAGAGTGGGAGGGCCCAGGCATTTCGTATACAGCAGTCAACAATCACCACACTCCATAAACAACGCTCGTTTCACACGCTAATTTAAAACATTCCAGAGGTGTTAATTGAGGGCGGTTGGTGTATCGGACAGAAATGCAAAGGTACATTTAGACGTGGGCACGTCTTTGTCGGCATATTTAGCTCCGCATCTTCAGGTATGAGGAGGTTACGGCAGCAGCGTGCGCCGAATGCCGCGAATATTTCCCAAAACCACAGATTGGGGATTGGTGTGTCCTCCACCGCCAGAGTCTGTCACCCTCGACAGGTGTTAGAGCTGGGGTGGGAGACTCTGACTACGTAACCGAATCTGGTGTTTTTGTGGACTATGAGAAATCCCTGTGAGGTACACCACACAGTCAATTACGGCTTCATAGCAACTGACCTTATATTGCATTACCACATGCCACAAGCCAAGCATACAGACGGATTAAATACGAATGTTGTGTACTTGTGTTTTGGCTACATCTCCCTTTTATTATTGTCCCACTGTGTGAGCCCGTTGTATAAGAATTCGATGGGTTGCTGTTAGAGGTGAGCATGCATATCTAGCCTGATGTTGGTTCATTCGTTGTACATGGGTAGGTAACAAATTGAGCGATTGTGAGCAAAACAGACTCCAGCAGAAACTACGTATTACATAAGCATAGTATAATATCACCTACGTATAATAATGCATAAGAGGTGTTAATTGTGCTAATATGAGAGAGAGTGGTAAGAGAATCGTGCAAGGGAAGAGAGCGGATATCAGTGTAGTATATATACACGCAGGGCTGTGCAGAACGCAGGTCAGGGACATCAGAGTTGCTATGTCATCTAATGGCGTAGCTACTGTCCATTCTTGTAAGTAGGGGAAAAGAGATAGAAAGTTTAATTACACTGGGGTCACAATGCTCAACACTACTGAAGCCTCCTAGCTCCCTGTGCCTGCATCCTTCAAGGCATCCCACACACACACACACCAGCACTCTGCTCAATCAATCAATCGTCCCGAGTGTTTTCCACCTAGACTCGTGTCCAGGCTCTCTCTCTCCATGCACACTCTCTAAATTGCACACACGATAGAGAATGACATCCAAACGATGCTGTGACAGCATACAGCAGACTGTAGAGTAAAGGCGCACTATTAGACAAGTAAGAACACATACCAAGCTCTTACGGTCGTCCTGGCCAGCTGCACAGCAGCTTTGTGTGCTACTATTATGTTTGGTGAGGTTAGAGCATGCACATCACGCGAGGAGTTTCCAGGGAGCCATGTGTGTTGCAGTGGTATGTATGTGGGCGGTGGGCACTAATTCTAAGTGGGTTACCCCACTCATATAGGGGAAACGCTTCTCCATCCACTCATCACCGCTGTTTTGTACAGTCACCACACTTCCCCCACACGGGAAAGGAGTGCTGTATTGCAATTTGTTAGTAGCAACATTCTGGCAACTTGCCACTCTGGCTATAAGACCACCGGCCATCTTTGAGCAAGAACAGCTCCTCCTCCTCTATACTCACTCACAACTGGCCCGGGTCTCGCAAATTCTTGCCAAGTTTGCTGGGGGATTGGTGAAAGGCTTGCCCTCATGTATAGTATGGCACATGTTTTTTTCCAAGCATACAGGAGCTAGATTGTAAACAAACGCTTGACAGCGGACTCTGTGATAATTAGGTATGTAGCCAACAAACGTGAGGGTATGTATGTGCACTTGAGCCAATGGGCTTTACATCATCTTAGATTGGGATTGAGGTGGCTGATTAACTGTTAGTGGGGGCACACCTGTAGAGTGGGTCTGCAAGCATGCTATATACAGGCTATAGAGATATAGAACCATGTGGCCTAGGCCACATGTGTGGGAATGAAAAACCAAAAAGGCAAGTAATGCAGGCACAGGCCAGCTAGGCTAAAGACAGACAGACGATTGCCTGAACTAGGCTGCAGTGTGGGAAGGAAAAGAGATAGGAAAAAAAACAACAGAAAGGAAGGAAATTCGTTAGCTCACTCGCATGAGTAACATTAGCAGGGCAGCTCCGCACGGAGTTTCCGGTGTCGGTCGTGACCAGGCAGTAGTAGAGTCGGCATGCTCACTGGCATGAAACGAGGTCAACCAGAGGTCGTCCCCGTTCGTTACGATCCTCGGGTCACCCGTGACTGGAAACAGGAGCAGCGGCAGGTGACCTCTGAACCATGCAGGTGTGGTGTGTGTGGTGAATTACAGGAGAGATGCAGCGAGCCGTTGGTGTGGTACCGCTCGACCAACCGGGTCCTCTATTGTGAGCTGGGAATCTGGAGAGAGAAGGAATGTTAGGAATGTGATATCAAAATTCAATCCTGATCCTGGTTTAATATGTCGGAGATTAGCAAGCAATAGGTTCACAGAATTAGGGTCACTAATAATAACAGTAGTTAGCGGGCGACGTAATTGTCACAGTTCATCACAGTTCATCACCACCTCATTCGTCGGACAATAAACCTCTAGACACCATCCCACCCCTGCATCCCATCTTCTTCTCATAACTTACACCTCCCCTCCCTCATTGCTCCATTTTACTTTACTTTCTACCCTTCTTTCTGACAAGTACACCCAGAGGATTACGTTATGCAAGCGTTCAACCCAAGCACCTGACCAGCAAGCACTGCAATAGTCCATCATCAGAGGCTGATTTTTTTCCACCTCTAGAACAGAGACCTGGCCTAATCTGAGAGCTGTCAACAGGAAGCAGTGTGCCAAGCACATGTCATCAGATGTGGGTGCTGTGGGTAGGGCTCCGCAAAGGTACTCACTAAGTGGCTCATTATGTTCAAATAAACCTCTAATCTGGCAATAATGCAGCAAAGAGAGGCATATCTAGGATCCCATTCCACTGGAGGAGGGGGAGAGTGGGGGAGAGAAGGGATTCCTGGCCAACCCAGGCCCAGCCAGAGCTTATAAACACATCTGCACTCTACAATAATATCAGTGCCTCTGCATGCAGGCTTAACATGGGTTAATTAAAACACTCCAGTTCTACCACTCAGTTCCACACACATTATGTTGTCAGTACACTAAAAGTCTCAAAATGAAGGTAACATTTCTACCGTTGTTCACCCAGTTGCAGAGTTGTTCGCACCAGTCGGAGGCTCAAACGGGGTAGCTAATCTACAGCCAGATCAGTGCCATATGCCACGACCACCCGCCGCTACGCTGACACGACAAGCCAAGTGTACTACACTCGATTCTTAGTTATTTACATCCGCCGCATACACCAACAGAAAATAGCGAACACTGCCCTCGCAGACACTATGGCTGTACGGGAGATCTAACAACGACGCATCGTAGTCATCAGCCGCACATGCTCGGCTCGCTCTCACGCACAGCGAAAGTGTCCGCATACATCTGGCTATCGAACCGACTCACCGGTGGCGGCGAGACAGAGTGCCAGGACCACGTAGGCCGCTCTTGCAAACAGAGACGCTTCCATCGCCAGCCTTCACAGTACTCCAGAGTTTGATGTGATGTGAATGCCTTGGCTAGCAACCTTTACCGAGCTCATTACCTCCATAACGGAGGCGTGCCCGCGATGATTGATCACACCTCCTACCTGCTGCGCCTCAGTTATGCGCATGCGCATAGTGGACCATTGTGCGCATGCGTTAGTAAGAAACCTATGAATCTTGTTACCGGTTAACACGGAAGCGGCGGGAGACGGAGAGATGGAGTGTGAAATCCATGCATAGTTTTCCCTTCGTTCGTGGTTTTACAAAGGGCGTGTTTGTGAGGCTCCCTTGTTGCTCTGCTCCACACCTCGCAAGAAACTCGACGGATTCAACTTGAGGTGGAAGAAAAGAAACGGTCTTTTAGCTAGCTGTGTACATTTGCTCGGCGTGTCGGACATGCAAGAAAGCGGCTGGTACTTTGGGGGGCGTCGCCGATGGTTAGTGACGGCGGTTCTCATCTCCGCTGTACTCTCTACTGTCAGAGCCCAAGTTATCCCAGGTAAGAGCGTTCCTGGCCTAGCGTTGGAGGGTTTTCGCTTGCGAACTTTGGTCGAATGTTGTGTGTGTGTGTGCGGGCGAAGCTGTTCGCGAGCGCGGTGGTGTGCAAACACTCCTCGATGCAGTCTCCCTGCCTAGCCTCCTGGCCGGGACTCCGCTCCCGCCGCGTGAGAAAGTGGGTAATGGGGTGCCAGCTCCGTGAAGTGGGTAATCTGTGTCTGGAGAGGTGCCTGTGGTAAAGATTGGATTCCAGTAGTACTGCCTCGCCCACACGTTACCTCATCAGCCCTTTGCCCTCCCACCCTCCTTACTTACCTCTCTGTTCCCCAGTGGCCCCCTAATACCTCACGTCCTCAATATGTGTTTGGTACAAAGCTTTGCGGCATCTTTTGTCTTCGTTCTGTGCATAGCAGCCAGCAAGCCCCGGAGTTTGGGAATTACGAATGTTTGGGTAGACTGGCAAGGGGGAAAGGAAGTGGAAAACTTGGGGACTTGAGGATAAGTTCCTAATAAGTTCCTATACATAATCCTGTTTAGTAACAGAGAGAGTTTGCTGGGGATATTATCCCCCCTGTTGTAACACTGGGAGCGATTGCGGAAACATTGCAGAAACATGCTACACGTTGCATGTTAGGAGAGGGTTGGTGGCGGGAGACTGTTTATTTCAAGGGACTATTCATTTTAAAGGGCCCTTTCACTTTCCTGAGACTTTCATCACTATGGCTTTTGTTGCAACCTTCCAAATGGTACTTATCATAACATTATTAAGCATGTGCACTAATGTAAAATTCATTGCACACAATTAACAGGAGAGCCCCCAGCCTTCCCCTCCACTGATGATCCTCGAGACCAGTTTGTGTTTGAGAGAGATGCTGACGATATGCCGGTCTCTCTAGTATTCACCTGTCCGGTGACTGGCACCGGTCCTCCTACAATAAACTGGTGAGTCAGCTATATAACTCCACTATATAACCAGTACTGCATCGTTGGTTCTCACGTAGGACATAGAATCTACTGGTACTGTATTATAATGTTCTCAGGGGTTCACTTGTGCCTCATGCAAATTGAGTTTTGGACCAACTTGCTCTGGTGCCTGTAGTTGTACAGGTAGCACACAACACAATCGCCCAAACAGTGTGTTAGTTCACAACGGGAGATGTTAGCCATGGGAACAATGCTGAGTTGTAGATATATATCTCGTCTGTGTCTCTATCTAGGTTTCGCGGAGTTCCTGGTGGCGACTTCATGATGGACAATGAGTTCATACAGGACGATGGGTCCTACATATTCCCCAACATCACTGAAGCTAACTCAGCCTATGCCAGTGGAGACGGTATAGAGTACTACTGCACAGCCACCAATGCCTTTGGGACAATCCGCAGCAGAACTGTCAGGGCCTTCTATGCTGGTGAGAGACCGGGAAACTGGGTGGGGGGCCATCTCAGGGTCTTGGAATGTCCCCACCACTGCCAAAGTCCCTTCAATTCCGCCTTTGATTGGCAGAGTACACCATGTGTTCTAGTGTCCTCTGTTGGGTTGGCCTATGTGTAATATACATACTGTGGTTCCCCTCTGCAGATTTTAAGGGATTTGCTATCAATGGGACGAAGGTTCCTGAAGGCACTGACCCTGTTGAACGTGAGGTGGATGTCATAGTAGCAGATGTCGCTACAAACCTGCAGTGGGTATCTCTGGAGTGTGAGGTGGTGCCTGGCTCCACCCCAACTCCTGAAATCCAGTGGATCAGGACTGATACTGATGGAGAGAATCTAGAAGTTCTGACTGAGGATTTTGATCAGAATACAGTTCGTTTCATTGACGGAGGCCAGTGGCTGATCCTGGAGACAACTGAGGCTGCTGTCACTGGGAAGGTGTACTACTGTCAGGTGACCAACAAGCAGAGGTTTCAGACCGTGAGAGGCCCCATCACCTACACCCTCAATCCCGGTGAGCCCCTCTCATCACTGTGTGGTAACGAGGTCTCATTTCACCCACCATCTCCAGTGACCAGTTTCTCTGATGAGCCTGATGGTATAAAGATCTACAAACCACTCATCAGCAGAGCTGTTCCACGACTAGTAAACCCTGATATAGTGATGGAGTGGCATTTGGTGTAGGAATTGCCTACGGTGGAGGCACACCAGGTGCTTTCACACAGCTGTGGAGAGTCAATGGAAGATCTGGTGGTACTAGAGTATTAGCAGGAGGACCTGTAGCCTCCATCCTACCACAGCTTATTGATAGCGACATGGGCCCAGAACTCGATATTCAACTGGTTATTGCTCCTGCTGTTGAGGCAGATGAACTGACCATTCTGTCAGCTACTCTCACCTTGCTAGGTTAGCACTCTCACACAAGCAAGAGTCTTCACAATAACTTGCCTGCATTGTGTCATTCTGTGTTTACACAGCCAGATGAAACATAGCCTATTCTTGTGTTTTAGCTGCACTGAGATGCAGAGCAATTTGTTGTGATAGACTCTCCTATCTACCCACAGACCCAGCAGTCATACTGGACCCTAAACCAGAGAATGAGCAAGACAGACTCTCTGGAGACCCACAGTCATTCACCTGCAATGTCGGAGGGTCTGATCCGACCATCAAATTCTACCACAATGGAAATGAGCTGACTAGCGACATGGATGGTGTTGAAATCAATGACGGTACTCTGACTATCGAATCTACCAATCCGGGCCACTCGGGGATGTACCAGTGTATAGTTGAGAACAACAGTGGCTCAGATGGCTTCAGTTGGTACCTCATAGTCCGTGATGCTAGTGAGTGGTCTACAATGTATCTGACTGGTTACTGAGTCTAGTATACGCCTTTGGGTTTCAACAACTTTCAGGACAACTACATGTGTTTTCTCTCCCCCACAGTTGCTCCTATGATTGTCACGAGTTTTCACGTTCCCCCTGACCCGTGTGTTGGGTTCTCCTTCATCCAGGCGGAGAGTGCTCCGGTCCTCCTCTCTGTCAATGTCACTGCTGACCCCTGCCCCACAGTGGTCTGGACTAGGAATGGAGAGCCCATCCCTGAGGCTGAAGCTACTGTGAGTCTCACACCACTGACACTAGAACTAGTTAAAGCCCCCGACAGAAACCCCTTAACTCTCTCTTACATCGTACTTTGTGTTTGTGTTTTGTTGGGATTGTGTCTAGGGTTTTCGTTTTTCATGCTGCAGCCAATGGGTGACTGTGCCGACACATTGGGACGGAAGAGTTTTCTCTTTTCCCTGATGGTGAATGAGCTGACCAATGATGGTAAAGATCTGAGAGCTTATGGAGCCACCTTGACCAATGTGGCAGGGTCAATCTCTGTCCCTGACACTGTCGTCACCGGAAGAGGTAGGAGCACTGGAACAACTTGTTCTGTCGTGGGATGGGGTGTGGTAGCAACGGTATTGCCAAATTTTGGGGGGCTCAGTATTTGTATAGTCTCAATTGTTACTCTGTGAAAAAGCAACACTGTTTTCTTGTTTTGAACTCATTAAAAGCCTAACTTATGCCGGTGCATGTGTGTCACAGGTGGTAAGGTAAATGACCACCTGAATCCTCCGTAGCTTCGTATTGTATCACAATGTGGTACATGTCAAGAGGTTTGGGACTGCATCTACAATCTCCCCTCCCTTGCACAGTTCGAGCTGACATCACTGACCTAAGGACTGATCCAGACAGTCCGATAGAGGGACACAGACACTGGCTGCCTCAGTGCTGACTCCACAGCCATGATCATCTGTGACAACACTGCCTTCCCTGTCGCCACTGTGGAGTTCTTGAAGGACGGTGTAGTGATAGATGCTGATGCAGAGGACAGGTGAGAGATTGTTGATACTACTTGCTGGGAGAGGGCACCTCTCTTTGCCCAGTAACTGTACACTACAGAGTTCTAATCTCCTCATTTCAGGTTCACACAGAATTGCGAGACTCTGACAATCGCAGGAGTCACTCCTGAAGATGAAGGCTCGTACACGTGTAGGGTTCAGAATCACGATGATGATCAGTTTGAGGACACCAGTCAGTGATTTCCCTCTCAAACTGGACTACTGTAGTGAGTACCTACCACACTACTTCTGGTGACATGTCTAGCCTATACAGTGAAACCTAGCTCTTTTAAAGGGCACTCAAAATAGAGGACACCTCTCTATAAAACACACTTCTCTCGATCATGTTTGTTTATCTAATACACCTTTCAATTTTGACGGTGCCAGTGTGTCCTTTATAAGTAGTATGTACCTCTTTCTCCTACAGTTGTGCCCAATATAGTGGTAGACCTGACATTCACGAGGAAGAATCCGGAAGAGGGAGACGAGACGACTGCCTCATGTGGGTGGACTGGGAGCCCTGACCCTGTGGTCACCTGGTACAAGGACGGCTCTCCTCTGGATGAAGAGGAGCTCCCGGCCAGGATCAGGATCACCATGTCCGATGACGGAGACATATTCCAGAGCAGTCTTCAGATTCACAACGTGATGCCAAGCGACACTGGAGACTACGCCTGCAATGTCAGCAACCCTGTGGGCACTCGGGTTCAATTGAACAGACTGGAAGTCCAAGGTGTTCAAGGTAGTGTTTATGAAGAACATTATTACAGTGTGAAAATTCCCCCATTATTGCTATATAGCAGCTAGCTCAAGTTTGAATGCAGAAGGTAAGCCACTATTGTTGAAAGCTTAATGTTATGGTGAGCTGTTAAACAGTGGGGCTTGCAGTTGGACTTTCTCTTCTAGGACTCTTCATATTCCTCTCAGTCCTTGCAGTTTTGATCTTCCTGTGGCGTGGTAAACTGGTCCCTCTCCCTAAAATTGATACCAATATTAATCTCTCACTACCAGTGATTAAGATGAAGGTGGGGCTAAAATCCTCAGTGGGTGAGGAGGTGACTTACACAGAAATCAACGAAAGAAATGAACCCAAAGAGACGGAAATGGAGATGATGCCAAACTCTGCCTATGTACCTCGATCTGTAGTACATGACGAAGATACCTATGACATCGTCGCTTAGCAGTAATTCGTTTTGGACTAATGAAGTCTTACTTTAGTCAATCTCTTTGTGTTCTCCAGAGCCAGTGTCTTCTTTCAGTGTAATAATGTCATATCCAAATAATGGCGCATGCGTTATACCACGCGTGATTGGACTGACTGAAAAGACCGCAGCGAACGAGCCCATGGCCGTAGTGCTAGTGATAGTGTACTGCTTCCTCCTTGCAGGTGAGTAGCGTTATGCCTCTAGCATATTGGCGTAGAAAAGCATGCGCAAAGTTGTGCTCTAACTGTTTGGCCACAGTTAGCTGCAGCTCCGGACAGCAGGACTGCTCCGAGACCCGCACGATAACGAGGCTTCAGTTCTTCACTGTCCCGCCAGGCACTGTCTGCTTCCAGTGCGACTTTGGCAGTGGAGTGGCCGCAGATTCCGTCTTCCAGTTGGACAACTCTGCAGTGGGGAGGAAGCTGGGACGGTGCAGAATGGAGTCCTCGCTGTCTTTGCTGCGGAAAACGTATTCCAAACTACAATTTCAACATCTTTGTCTTGCATCAGTGGAAACACAAGACTAACTGCACACATTTTCTTGGAAAGTGAGGGGATAAATTTAAATTAGTTTGTCACAGCAATGATCCTTGTTGTTTTTTCTTGAAAAACGTACCAAAGGCCTTGCACCTCCGCAAGTGCCTAGTGCAGTGTCAGTGAGAGAGGGCGAGACGCTGACATTAGCGTGTGATGTCACCAATTCCAACCCACTCCCTACCGTTAGCTGGATACGGCGGAGGAAGATGTGATAAGTGGGAATACTGTGGAGATAAACGACATACAGAGGAGCCAAGCCGGAAACTACATCTGCGTTGCACTGCAGAGATGGCAGTACTCAGAGCTCCACTACAGTAGTCACTGTGACATGTTAGTTGATAGAGGTTTAACAAACACACTTCAGTGCTGCATGAGCAAGTTGGTTAGCTCACTGTATTGTTACAATCTTGTAGTAGTGCAGTCCGTTGTAAAGTGGTGCAGCATAAGGAGGTGAGACTTAGCTAAAGGAATACAGTTTACATTGGCTTAGACCTTGACCAGGAGTTGCCTGTACCGAGACCTGATAAATAAACATCTTGTCTATTTTACCTAACATGCTTTTTGCTGCAGTTGCTCCAGAGATAACAGCAGACGAAGAGGGCTTGGTGAAATTTCCCCTGAACGGCACGCTACACCTACCCTGTTCGTTTCAGAGTGTCCCAGCACCAGATTCTGCCAAGTGGACCCACAATGGCACCCAGCTACCCCCTACTGTAGTCACACTGACAGCCTCGACTACCACACTGACTCGCACCAACCTACAGGCAAATGGTGGTGGGGCCTATGTCTGTAGTGCCAGCAATGAAGTTGGCTCTGACACTGCCACCACCTTCGTCAGAATACAATGTAAGCTGAAAACGTTTTCATAAGTGTGTAGGCAGTAAACAACTGTTTTCCTCCCAGTACCCTCTGATCCCGTTAGCAACCTTGAAGTGATAGAGAGGACCACAGATAGTCTGACTCTCTCATGGACAAATCCACACTTTACCGGGTTTGCTCCGATAACATCGTTTAGAGTCAGAATTACAGGAGGTGGACCTGAGAGATCTGAGGCATTTGACGGAGACGAAACACTGACGGAGCACACAGTGTCTTCTCTGTTGTCCACTGAGTTTGTTAACTGCATAACCTATGAAGCTGTCGAAGAAGAACAGCAAACAACCTTCACACCCTTGACGCAGGAAGAGGCCAGGCCCTCTATCAACAGCGGCAAGAGGTGGAGTGGGACTGCCAGTGAAGCAAACAAAAAGAAGAGGAAGAGTGGAGAGGAGGGAGCTGCAATGCCTGATAACACGCTGCATGTATGAGGCGATGGTCCTGGAAGCTGGTGTAGATGATGACTATGAGGAGCTGACGACACTTGCCTACGACGTCCCTTGGAGGGCCATATGCGAGGCTCCTGCCTACAATAATGTGGGAGGAAACAGCAATATTGGATGCGAGGGTCTTGCCTACAATGGGAGGCCTACTGTTTTGTACTCTCCATTGTCTACAAGTCGTCTTGTTTGATGTGTAGCTATATAATACTATTGTACTCTGTAGTACAGTGGATTTGAGGATATTGGGAAGTTTGATGTCTTGCCATTACAATGTCTTGATAGACCCCATAACACTCACACGTATAATGCTAAGGCAGTTGCGCATGCGCATAACCGGAGCGCAATCGTACCACGCGCGCCGCGCGCGCGCGCGCCGGGGCGGCGCTCAATGCGATACTCCTGTTAAATAATATTAACCCTGCATTCCGAGGCATTTGGTGTAGGCAATTTATTTTTTCAACATGATCACGTTGCCCGTCGTGTATCTCTTAGCCCTTCAACTTTTGTTTTGGTGGACCGCCGGTGGACAAGTAATCCCTGGTAAGTGTCATCACCAGAGGCGGGCTGCCCAGTGTTAGTTACGCATTGCCGAGTGCAGGAGAGCCCCCAGCCTTCCCCTCCACTGATGATCCTCGAGACCAGTTTGTGTTTGAGAGAGATGCTGACGATATGCCAGTCTCTCTAGTCTTCACCTGTCCGGTGACTGGCACCGGTCCTCTTACAATAGACTGGTGAGTCAGCTATATACTCCACTACATAACCAGTACTGCATCGTTGGTTCTCACGTAGGACATAGAATCTACTGGTATGTAGTATAATGTTCATCAGGGTTCACTGGGCTCATGCAAATTGAGTTTTGGACCAACTTGCTACTGGTGCCCTGTAGTTGTAACAGTGTAGCACCAACACAATCGCCCAATCAGTGTGTGTAGTCTTCACACGGAGATGTAGCCATGGAAGCAGTGCTGAGTGGTAGATATATCTCGACTGTGCTCTCTGTCTAGGTTTCTGCAGAGTGGGTCCTGGTGGCGACTTCATGAAGGACATGAGTTCCTACAGGAGATAGGTCCTACATATTCCCCAACATATCACGGCAGCTGACTCAGCCTATGCCAGTGGAGACGGTATAGAGTACTACTGCAGCCGCCACCATGCCTTTGGACATCCGGACAGCAGACTGTCAGGGCCTTCTATGCTGTGAGAGACCGGAACTGGGTGGGTGGGCCATCTCAGGGTCTGGAATGTCCCGCATCACTGCCAAAGTCAGTCCCTTCAATTCTAATTCCTGCCTTTGATTGGCAGAGTACACCATGTGTTCTAGTGTCCTCTGTGTGTGGGTTTTGCCTAGTAGTAATATACATACTCTGTGGATTCCCCTCTGCAGATTTTAAGGGCTTTGCTATCAAGTGGGACGAAGTGTTCCTGAAGGCACTGACCCTGTTTGAACGTGAAAGGTGGATGGCAGAGTAGCAGATGTCACTAACACCCTGCGTGGGTATCCCTGGAGTGTGAGGTGGTCCCTGCTCTCACCCCAACTCCTGAAGCCAGTGGAACAGGACTGATACTGATGCGAGAGAATCTAGATTCTGACTGAGGATTTGATCCGAATACAGTCGTTTCCTGACGGAGGCCAGTGGCTGATCCTGGAGACCCTGAGGCTGGCTGTCACTACTGGACGGTGTACTACTGTCAGAGTGACGCAACAAGCAGAGGTTTCAGACCGTGAGAGGCCCCATCACCTACGAGCACCCGCATCCCGTGTGAGCCCCTCTCATCACGGTCGTGTACGAGGTCTCATTCCTCCCACCATCTGCCCGTGACCATGTTTCTCTCTGATGAGCCTGATGGTATAAATATCTACAACCACTCATCAGCAGAACTGTCTCAGCGCTAGTAAACCTGATGAAGATGATGGAGTGGCATTTGGTTTAAGGAATTGCCCTACGGTGGAGGCACACCAGGTGCTTTCACACATCTGTGGAGAGTGACTTGAAAGAGATTGGTGGGTAGTGATAATTGCGGTAGGACCTGTGTAAGCCTCCATCCTACCATGGAGCTTATTGATAAGGCGACATGGCCCAGCACTCGATATTTCAACTGTTATTACGGTCCTGAAATGTTGAGGGGCAGATACTGACCATAAAGGTCTGTCCGCTCCTCTCACCCTTCACTCAACCCTTCTCATGTGGTGTAGCACTCTCACTCAAGCAAGAGTCTGTCACAATAACTTGCCCTGCGTTTGTGGTCATTCTTTCTGTTGTTTAGACACAGCATGATGAAACATAGCCCCTTCTTGTGTTTAGCTGCACTGGGGATGCGAACAATTTGTTATGATAGACTCTCCTATCTACCCACGACCCGCAGCATACTGGACCCTAACCAGAGAATGAGCAGACAGGACTCTCTGGAGACCCACAGGCTTCACCTGCAATGTCGGAGGGTGCTGATCGACCTACATTCTACCACAAATGAAACGAGCTGACTGACGACATGGTGGTGTTGAAAATCAGTCTGAGGAGGTACGCGGACGAATCAAATCTACCAAGCCGGCCACGTGGTGACTGACCATTGCACTAGTTAGAACAACAGTGGCTCGATGCTTCAGTTGGTACCCGGGGGCCCGAGGGCGTGGGGACGGAGGATGTCGGGCTGCTCAGAGTCCGTGATGCTAGTCGTTGGTCTACAATGTATTACCTGGACTGTGGTTACTGAGTCTAGTGTATACGCCTTTGGGTTTCAACAACTTTTTTTCAGGACTACAACATATGTGTTTCCTCTCCCCCAAGTTTGCTGCCCCCCCCCCGTTTTGATTGCGTCAGTGAGTTTTACGTTCCCCTGACCCGTGTGTTTTTGGGTTCTCCTTCATCCAGGCAGATGGGAGGAGTGCTCATTGCACGCTACCCGGTCCGCGTGCGTCGGCGTCTCGCGGGACCTCTGACGTGCAATGCACCATTCCGCCACTCTGGCTCTCCTGGCGGAGAACACCTGCGACCTGAGGGAGACCCAAGTATCCACACAGTGTCTGGACTAGAATGGAGACCCCATCCCTGAGGCTGAAGCTACTGTGAGTCAGAGGACACCACGAACACTAAAGCCCCACAGAAGACCTCTTAACTCTCTCTTACATCGTTACTTTGTGTTCGTGGGATATGTGTCTGAGGGTTTTCGTTTTTCATGCTGCAGCCAATGGGTGACTGCGCCGACACATTGGGACGGAAGAGTTTTCTCTTTTCCCTGATGGTGAATGAGCTGACCAATGATGGTGATGATCTGAGACATTATGGAGCCACCTTGACCAATGTGGCAGGGTCAATCTTTGTCCCTGACACTGTCGTCACAGGAAGAGGTAGGAGCACTGGAACAACTTGTTCTCTCGTGGGATGGGGTGTGGTACAATGGTATTGCCAAATTTTGGGGGCTCAGTATTTGTATAGTCTCAATTGTTACTTTGTGAAAGCAACACTGTTTTCTTGTTTTGAACTCATAAAAAGCCTAACTTATGCCGGTGCATGTGTGTCACAGGTCGTGAGGTAAATGTACACCTGAATCCTCCATAGCAGTTTTTCATTGGCTGTAATGCAGCATCTTGTGTTTGCTTTTAATCGTATTGTATCACAATGTGGTACATGTCAAGAGGTTTGGACTGCATCTACAATACTCCCTCCCTGCATCAGTTCGAGCTGACATCACTGACCTAAGGGCTGATCCAGACAGTCCGATAGAAGACACAGACACTGGCTGCCTCAGTGCTGACTCCACAGCCATGATCATCTGTGACAACATTGCCTTCCCTGTCGCCACCACTGTGGAGTTTTTGAAGGACGGTGTAGTGATAGATGCTGATGCAGAGGACAGGTGAGAGACTGTTGATACTACTTGCTAGGAGAGGGCACCTCTCTTTGCCCAGTACTGCACTCTACGGAGTTCTAATCTCCTCGTTTCAGGTTCACACAGAATTGCGAGACTCTGACAATCGCAGGAGTCACTCCTGAAGATGAAGGCTCGTACACGTGTGGGGTTCAGAATCAAGATGATGATCAGTTTGAGGACACCAGTGATGATTCCTCTCAAACTGGACTACTGTAGTGAGTACCTACCACACACTACTTCTGGTGACATGTCTAGCCATATACAGTGAACCTAGTTCTTTTAAAGGGCACTCAAAATGGAGGGCACTGCTATAAAACACACTTCTCTCGATCAAGTGCTAATACTTGTTTGTTTATCTAATACATCTTTAAATTTTCGCGGTGCCAGTGTGTCCTTTATAAGTAGTATGTACCTCTTTCTCCTACAGTTGTGCCCAGTATAGTGGTAGACCTGACATTCACGAGTGAAGAATCCGGAAAGGGAGACGAACACTGCCCTCATGTGGGTGGACTGGAGCCCGCTGACCCTGTGATCACACTGGTAGCAAGGACGGCTCTCCTCTGAGTGAAGAAGAGCTCCCGGCCAGGATCAGGATCACCATGTCCAGAGACGGAGACATGTTCCAGAGCAGTCTCCAGATTGACAACGTGATGCTTAGCGACACTGGAGATTACACCTGCAATGTCAGCAACGCTGTCGGCTTCAGTTTCAATTCAACAGACTGGAAGTCCAAGGTTTGTATGGTCTACGTTGAGACGTCCTGGTAGTAGCTCAGCTGGTAGAGGACTCGCCTAGAGTACAGAGTTTCTGGGTTTTAGGGCAACTAAAAGGGGCTGTCCTACATAGGTGTAGTGGTGTCGTGTTTGCCTTGACTTGTTTGTGACTGGCGTTTAACTCTTTACATTTCTCTTTCCTCTCTCATGTGCTGGTACCGTCTCACTACTACAGACGTGGAAGAACGTGAGTTTGAAAAAAGACCAAGTGGCTTTAGCCCCACCTTACCCCCGTCTCTCTCCCCTACAGCTGTGCTCTCAGAGATTGCGACGATAGGGGTAGCTGCCGGAGGGGCCGGACTGATTGTCCTGGTGGCTGTGGTGATGGTGCTGCTGTGCTGCGTGTGGAACTGTGCCAGAAGGAGCTCCACCGGATGTGAGGAACCGGGGAGCGAGGGTTTGCTGTTTCATGGTTGGCTGAATTGGGGGGCGCCACTAATAATCTGAGCCTATTCATAGCTGAGTTGTACATAGTAAAAACCCTGGTATGACATTTTGTGGGCAGTTCTGTTGGTCCCACTCCACCTGCTCCCTCTGAAGTTTCCTGTTTACGCAGTGGATACTATATACAATATCAGTCTAGATCTCTACCCTCTGCCTTTTATACTGGTATTGATAGGCTGTCTTGAGGTTGGTGATCATCCAGGGAGCCCTTTTCTCTCTCCATCCTTACCCTGTTACATGTTTTAGCAATACATCCCGCGCGTGTTGGGAGGTATAATTATACTGCATGTATATAAATATATGTACTGGTTGGAGGCAGTGTTTGCCCACAGAGGGCTCGGCAGTGCTAAGTGATGTCAGGTCTTGCCATACCACTGCCACCCTAGTGTTGTTCCCTCCCTCACACACTACCCCAAATACTTACATACATACATTCCTGCTAGCTTATATTCCACCCCCATACATTCTCACCTTGCTACTGGTGTCTCTCAGGTTTCCTACATATCCCTATCAGTTCCCTTGCTGCATGACACAATTTCCCACCACTAGGGTGCAAGGTAGTACCGTGGCACCATTGATACGCCTGGTCATGGTGTGCACAGCTATCACTGGATTGTTGACATACACATTTGTTATCTGGCCACCAAATTAGCATTAGCTCACTCCCAGTGTGTACAATGACCACCCAACTGTGGATATGGTGGTGTTGAGACTATTGTGTTGGCATACAATCCTCCACGTTGTAGTTTGTCTGTAGGTTATAGCTTTGTGATTTATGCATTGATTAAGTCTTTTTAACTCTTTTTCACTCACACATGTGCACACACACACACACACACACACCACTCACTGTTCTTTTCAGCTTATGCAGTTCCATCATCAAAGTAAGTGAACATATGGATGTTGCATGTGACTGACTTTTTCGTTTCATGTTAGGTCACCTAGTGTACGAACTGTCCAAACATTAGACTGTGCTTCTCCCTCTCTCTCTCCTTCTCCCTCTCCTTCCCTCTCTCCTCTCCCTCTCTCTCCCTTTCTCTCTCTCCCTTTCTCTTTCCTTCTCCCTCTTCTCCCTAACTAAACCTAGGGATCATTTCCAGATGGCTGTCGTGCCGGGAGAAATGCCAGAGAACTACAATGTGGATGCTCCGGACGGTCCAGAGGAGCCTGATGAGGCATTCAACCCTGATTATGCCTCTCTGCCAGCCCTGCGCCCCGCTGTGCCTCCACAGTACAAACCCACTCCCACCTATCCTTCTGACAGTGAGTCTCAACATACGTAGGTACTTAGACAGGGAGCTCACTTTGCACTTATTCTAGTACACTTTGGTGGATAGAGGAGCTTCCAGGGAGAGTGCATAAATGATAAATGAGAAGTGTAATGCTTCAATTCTGGCCTACTCCAACCCTAGAGCATGATGTCTATGGAAAGAATCCCACAAAACACCTGTTGTTGGACATTGTTTCAAGTTCTTTAGTGCTCTGTGTGCCCTGATGTGTAGGTACAACCTCGTTGCTGGTCCAATTACTAAGTGTGTAGGCTGACTCCTTTCAAGTGGTGTTCAGTGTTTACTCACCAGTACACATTCCACGTCTAATGACTTGTCCCTCTCCAAATAGCATTCCTGTAGCTGTTATCCTTTGTTTGTTTCTAGTCCACTCACACAAAGTGAAGAAAACGCACACAGTGCATTAGACAATAGAAAACACTTATTTTTCCCTGGCAGTAGTACTACTATCAAAAATAGTCCCAAGGCTTTTTATTACGTATACAGCTAATAATGAGAGGAGTCTCTCTCATCTCCCCCCAGTGCCTCCTCCAGAGGAGTACCAGAAGAGGATGCCGTCTGAAGATGATTTTGTCGGTCCATATGGACATGTAAGTGTTGCATGTTATCACAATACCGCAGATCCTGGGCTAGGGCTGTGCAAAACACACCTCAACATCTGTCGGATGGGAAACTAATGTGTGATATATTACAATCACCTCAACACAATTCATGTATACTACCTGTACCTACAGCACAGCATGCAGTTATGTGGAGCTTGGCTTGAAGCAACAGCTGTGTGGTCTATGTAGTGCTGGGCTGGGCACAGGTGGCTGCATGACCAACTGTCGACACATTAGGCCATTAAAACACTGTCACGGAATATTCTTGGGTTGATCGTAATTCACGGGTTGGGGATAGATTCAGCCAGTCAGTGTATTCAGAGCACCGGGAGAGCAAGAGAAAGAGAGAGAGATGTCACGGTGTAGATATTCCCTAGAGGCCGGCCACCCATGAGCACACTGCCAGTCAATACACTCTCTCCCTAATGTCATATTAATTCCTCTTTATATACCTTCCTTGGTGAGAAATCTCCCATGTAAACTATGGCATAGTATAAGTCCATATCCGGTCACTGCGGTTACCCCTCTCCATTAGAGTGGGGTGTGACACGTGCCACGTGTGGTGTACTAACAGAGGTGGAGTGGGAGGAGAGGGTTATGGTGTGTGGGGTTGACTGTAGTTCCTGTTTCAAGCATGTGTGTGTGCTTCGTAGATGTCATTGCGACCCAGCACAGCTTGACGCAGGTCGATTCTAGCATTCTGTTGGAAGCAAAACTAGAGCCTTACTTATCACAAACAGCCTGCGTCAATGGGCCTTGCTTTGTCCTGTAAAGTCTACCTGTCCATTTCTTCCTATAAGTTTACTCTCTTTTTGTCCCCTTTGTTTCCTCCACAGGACAATGGAGGGATGCACCACCACCAACCCTACCAACCAACTGTAGACGATTTTGTCTCGGACGATGCCCAATTTGTGTAGACCTACTGACACCACGCCCCCCTTTCTAGGCATTAGCTATGATGTAACCTGTAAACCTCCTCTACTTGATCGTATACTTTGCACAGTGTCATGGTGTCTACCAATCAACCTCCCCTCCCTCCCTCGTTCTACCCTCACTCCGTCATCTGTCTATCTTCCTCTCTAATGATAGACTACATTACAATGCACAATATGGCCAACATATATAGGAAAACTGACTGAATGAATGGCGTAGATTTTCATCGCAACCTCTTACAGCCGTCTGAGCTGTTTACTTTTTTCTTGTATTTTTTAGTTTTGTAAGACTGATGCTAGACTGTTTTAGAATGTGATGTACAACATGTACAGTTCCGATATATTATTTATCGCTTTTTATATCATTTTTAATGCATTTTCATTTTGATGGTAGCCTTGTGTTATAACAAACTGCATCGTTGCATGATAATATATACAGTAAACCATGGCACGTTTGTTGCAGCCTCTGCTTTTCGCTCTGATACCTTTTCCCGATAGTTTCTGAGTGTGTGTACGTGTACGTACACGTAACCATTAACGTCGAGAAAACGCATGCGTGTTAGTTAAGGCGCATGCGCACGATTGTACTTTAAAGGGGGTGGGGCTCGTTGCGGTTGTGTTGCTCTGATCCGCGAAAGATGGGGGCCTACGGGTCCAAGAGGTTCAAGGCTGAACTGGAGTCCCTGCGACGGAACGACCCAACACTCACGGTGCTCGACTACGAGTCGGCCGGCCTGGGGGACGAAGGGGCGCGCGCACTAGCCGAGGCCCTGCGCGGGAACGAGACACTGAGGAGACTCCGGCTGGGGCAGAGCGGGCTCAGTGCCCTGGGCCTCCAGCGGATCTGCAGAGCTCTCTGTGACACATCAATAGCCCCGTGTCACCTCCGGAGACTCGACTTGGTGAGACATACATATCTCTCTGAATATTATAGAGTCTACCTTTTAGCAATCCACCCTATTTTCAAACATTTTCAGAGCTCTGGTACGTCGGTTGGCAACGCAGTGGGAGACAATGGAGCCAAGTGCCTGGCAGCTGTAAGCTTATTGAGACACTCACACACCAGCTCTCTCTCTCTCTCTCTCTGCTCTTTTTCACTCTCTCCTTTTTTCTCTCTTCCTCAATCTTTCTCCCTCCTTCTCTCTCTCTCTGATCAGCTGTTGACACGAGCCCCCTCCCTGCGCCACCTCACTGCTGGTGGGTGTGGCATTGGAGACGAGGGAGCTAGCAGTATCGCCCAGGCTCTGGCCAGGAACAGAACACTGAAAACCCTTGACCTCAGGTAACCCCTGCAATAATGCAGAACAATGCACATATATACTGTGATGGGACTCTGATGAGCAATGGACGGGCGTATGTTATTCCTGGTTGTTTTATCTTGCTTATACACTGACAAAGAATATGTTCACAGCACTATCACAGTCATCATAGTATCTCTCTCTCTCTCTCTCTCTCTCTCTCTTCAGTAACAACTCCATCAGTGACATAGGGGCAGAGGAGCTGGGTACGGCCCTAACCACCAACTCCACTCTCAGGGGTCTGTCTCTCTGGAAGAACAGGGTGTTCCACTCCGGGGCAGAGGGTCTGGCCAATGGCCTCGTTACCAACACCACTCTCACGTGGCTTGGAGTGAGCGCTGGGGGACCATCAGCTACTTACTCTTTAGTTATCAGAGTGAAAAATCCTTATGAAGTTTTGAGACTACTTACTATCAGGCAGAAAATGTCGAGTTTTGTGAATTCACTGATCCAGGTTTACGGCATCCCTGCACTTAACTACAGTGAAACATCTGAATGAGGGAGGGACTATATTATAGAGATGACAAAATATCCTTAATTGGAGGTGCCCTTGTCTGGAACGAATATAGTATCGGGGAGAACTAAGTGTCTTTTATTCGAAGAGTCCCTTTTAGAAGTTTTCTTGTGTTGTACAAAAACTTCGAAGTTTCCTCCCTAAAAATCTTCTGTTCTCTATCTGCCTCAGTTGGGGTGTAACTACATCGGAGATGAAGGGGTGAGGGCTGTTTCCATAGCTCTCATATCGAATGCCAGAGACTCTGGTCTTCTGTGGCTGGCTCTGGGGGGAAACCTGATCACTGACAGGTGACACCCCCTCCTCTCTCTCTCTCTCTCTACACTCTCAATTTCTCAGATCGCTATAAGATATTTGCAATAGTCTAACCTCGTTCCAAAGCCTTAAAAAACTAAACTCTTTCGGTCTCATTTTGTCAATGAAGTTTGCAAACATGCTATGATATAATTCTTGCCTCTTTATAACTTCAGTTTCTCCTTCTTTTTTTACGGAGTTATTAACACTTCTCCCTGTCATAGAGGTGCTGATCACATAGGTGTAGCTCTCCGTGCTCAGAGACATAACGAGAGACGACACAGGACCAGCAGACTCACCAGCAGTCAGATCAGGGAACCGGACGACCCGTTTGACGATACGGACGCCCCGTTTGAGGACGTGGAGAGTGAGACTAGTCTGAAGGAGAGGATCAGGGGCGGTGGGTTGAGGCCCATTCTGGAGCTGGGGGTGACCCCCTCTCATATCAGTATGCTGCTGGAGGGAGGAGGAGAGGATGTGGAGGTGAGGACGGAGGAATCTTTTATTTTCTGTTACTTGGAAATTTGTGGCAATGTCTTGATAATCTGTGTACTCTTGCCCAATTGGATGATGTATACAGGGTGTTGATGGAGGAGATGAGGATGAGGAGGGAGAGGAGGAAGGAGAAGGAGAGAAACTGGAGGAGGAAGGGAAAGAGAAAGAGAAGGAGGAGGAGGGGGAGGGAATGTTCTGTCTACCACTGGAGTCCCTAGGTCTGGGAGGAAACAAGATTGGAGACATCGGGGCTCAGCACCTTGCCTCCGCCCTCGCCTCTAACACCAGTCAGTCATGTGACCTCCCCTTTGATGTCATGTGACCCTATTCAAAGTCATGTGATCAATTATACCATCAAACATTATACTTCCACTTTCACAAAAACATGCTGGCAGTATCACCAATTTAGACACATAATTGGTGGCGTGAGATTACCACTGAATTAAGGTACGTATGATGTATGCATATCTCCATGTAGGGTTACTGAGTCTAGGACTGGCTGATAATTGTGTCGGGGATGAAGGGGCGTCCTCTCTGGCGGACCTCCTGCGTCAGACGGGGTACCTCCAGCAACTGCTGCTGTCTGGTAACGAGGTCGCTGACGAGGGGGGCAGCAAGCTGGTGGCAGCTCTCACCCAGAACACCTCTCTCAAGGCCCTCTACCTCGCCAGGGTCTGCCCCTACCTATTACTGTACTATAGTCCTCTCTACCTCGCCAGGGTCTGCCCCTTCTCTTTTGCTGTCACCATCCCTTTCTGCCCCTAACTTATATCTCATCCCTACCCACCCCTGTCTATACTGTACATATACTCTGCCCAAACTTGTGTATTGACGTTGTTGGTGTAAATGTTCACCAAAGTGCCCCCAAAACTATAGATGACATGCTCCTTGCAATTAAGTGTGTTAAGGACATTGAGCTACTGTAACAACAGGGATCATGAATACACTATCTGTTCTTGATCTTTCTCTGTTGGTTCTCGGTTGGTTTGTAGAATCCTCTCGGAGACGAGGTCGGGAGGAGATGTTTGGAGGTGATTGGTCGCCATAACAACACCCTGGAGACCCTCGACATACACGACACGTTGATGACCACACCCACTATTAACAAAGTATGCAGTATGCATGACATTTCATTACTGCCGTGAGCTCCATAGACTGTGGACTAAAACATGCAGTAGAAACAGAGGGCATGGGAAATTATGTGGATTTAGGAAGCTGGGGGCCATGGTGTTCCAACCCCAGCTAGCGAGGACGCTACTACAGGGCCCGAGGCTTCCAAGGTTGTTTTCATGACTTGATGTGTAACTATTTATAGTGTGGCATGCACATAAGGTACATAGGTCCTGGGGGTGAACACTATCCAATAGCATTCTTCGATAGTATTCCTCCTTCTATTTAGTGTTCCTCCTCATAATACAGAGGAAACAAAGTCGACTAGCTTTCTAGCTTTCTCCTACAACCTACTCATCTTGATGGTTGTCCCCTTTCTCCCCACCCTTCAGTTGGTGGAGACAATGAGGACTGAAGGAGTGCTGAGACTGCTGGGGAGCCAGCCCCTCCCGGTGGGCGTGGTCTCGGAGACGGAGCCACACCTACCTCCCAGCGGCAACGTACTAGAGATGGAGAACTGGAGACCAAAGATACAAGACCCCATCCTCAGAACCAAGGTGACGGTCTTTGCAAACACACATCAAGTCTACTTCTGGTTCATGTGACATTGAACATTTGCAAGATTTCTCTACTGCCAGAATATTTTGCAGATTTTAGTGACAGCGTTTGCCTTACGTGTGATGGTATGTATAGTCTCACACTAACCTTCGAAAAAGATCCTCCGAATAAATGACACCTCTCCACTTGCTTTTGCACCATGCAATTACACTAATACCTCAGATTAAGGGATACCTCTGAATCAGCCATGCCCCCTATTCAGAGGCCTCACTGACTGTATATATATCGACCCCTACAGACGAAGGGGCTGGCAGTATCGACAGCTCCATCAAACAGACAGACGACGTTGGAGGCACTGGGCTCCCTCCCTCCTCCCTCCGAGACCGCGCAGAGCCTCGTCATGAGGGCGGGGCTGGGAGGAGGGGGCGGGGCCTCGCGAGAGGGGACCCTCTCTCGGAGCAGGAAGTGGAGTAGGCGGAGCTCGGTGACGGGGTTCCTGAAGAGGAAACTGAGTCTGTCGCGGGGAAGACCGCAAGTCAGAGACAGTTACGGTGGGTAGAGGGGGAGGAAGGAAAGGGTTAAAACCGTGATAATTACAGGATGAAAAGGTTAAATTTGTTGGGAGAGTGAGGGTATGTCACCAAAAGAACATTTAACAATCTTGCTGTCCATGTACATACATCTTATCAGTGCTCTGCTGCAGAACCTGGCCTTGTAGCTAAAATGCATGGCGCACACCACCTGCGCAACTGATCAGCAAAACTACTGATACGTATGACAATTTTACACACACACTTTATCATCCATTATTGTGTGTTGTTGTCCTGCCAGTGAGGGGAGAGGAGGCGGAGCGACACAGAGCCTCGTGGAGGCCTGGCAGTGCCGATAGAGAGAGGGAGGGAGGGACGGGAGGTGTGTGGAGAGGGGCGGGGAGAGGAGGAGAGGGGGCGTGGCAGCTGGGGACCACCGGTGGAGGATTCACAGCTGGGAGAAGAAGATCAGTGAGTTGTTTGGACACTTGAGCACATTTTCCTTTCCACCTGAACGTGCATTTACATCTCTCCTTTTACTACCAAATTTTCCTCAATTCCACTTTCACATCACTCTTCCCCCTTCGTCTCTCCTCCTCCTTATCTCTCCCGCTAAAGAAAATGGCTCCACCAATAGAGCTCCAACCACTAATAGAGGATCCTCTGGACGAAATGGACTCTGGGATGTTCAGGTAACTAGATCTCTTACACTGTCTTGCTGTGTCAGAGAAAGGAAAGTTGTGGTGTGGTTGTTATATGAAGCACCCTCACTCCCTCCATCTCCCCTCTCTCTCTCCAGGGCAGACATGGCAGTTGGTGAGGCTGATCTCTCCACCTCAGAAAACCATCATAATATGGACAATCATCACGTGGACCATGGTAATAGGGAGCATCATGAACCTCACTCCTACCTCCTCTCAGCCAGTCCTTCCCCTGACACAACCAGTCCTACATCTACTACTCCAGCCAGTCTGCCTACTAGTGTTACTCCTGCTACTCCAGCCAGTCTGCCTACTAGTGTTTCTCCTACTACTCCAGCCACATGGCCTACTGGTGTTGGCTCCACTAGTGTCTTTACTGATGATGTCACCGACAATGGCAGTGGATCTAGTGATATGGAGCGGAGACAGAGAGGTTTGGAATCGGGACGTGAACAGTCAACGAGGAAGAAGAGTGACGTGGAATCGGGACGTGGAGAGCCGACAAGGAGGAAGAGTGGTTTGGAATCGAGACGTGGAGAGGAGACGAGGAGACAGAGGAGGAGTGGTGTGTGGAACGGAGGAATGGGAATGGAAGGAGGCGGAGACCGGAGGTCAAAGAGGTCACCGCGAGACTCTCTACTGGATGTGAGTTGGCACTGACCACAGAGTGTGGGGACACTTTTACTACTTGAGGGGTTTTAGTGTGGATTCTGTCTGTACAAACCTCGTCAAGGGGGGGCCTCTATAAAGATGAACGAGTGTGCTCTGTGTGAAAGATCCATAGCTCCCTCTTCTCCCTACTCTCTCGTTTCTCCCCCCCCCCTCGCCCCATCTCCTCTGTCTCTCAGTCTGTTCCGAGGGAGTCATTGCTACACTCCCTCACCACCGACAGACCACACCCACCTGCTAATAGGAGACCACCCAGTCGAGATCGCTCTCCCTCTCCCTCTCCTCTCCACCTACCACCTGGTATATCACTACACACACACACCCACACCTAACGAGCACCATTCTAAGTACACTGGTCCCCACAGTAACTCTATTATACGCCAATTTTAGGATCATAAGACGTGTAGTTTTCCCAGATAAGCCTCAATCTATGAGTAAAAGAACATTCTGTATTGTAGGTAGCATAGCTACAGTAAAAGAAATGTTCAGCGACCAAAGGTTGTATGACTTTAATACATACTTTCCATAAAAGAATGTTGCTGCACATTGTAATTGTCCCTCGTTTAAACCCTTTTCCACTAGACATCCAGGAAGAACGTGAAGAAGAGAGAGACGTCTTTGCCAGCAACTCCACCAGTCAGATACTGACCATGGCAACTCCCATTCACACCACTGAGGTATTGGTCACATGACACGGTCCCCTGGATCACATGGGAGTCATGTGACCAGTCAGATCGGAGAGTACTTAGTTTGTAGAAAATATTTTCACATATAATTGGACCTGGTTATTATCGCAGGATTGATTGTGACCTAATCTGTAGACTAAATTTTCCCTTCAGAGTATTTGTCGCTGTAAATCATTGCTGTGTGTTTCAGTAAAGTGCGTGCAAAAATGCATGTGTCAACTACAGGTAGAAAGGCACCATGTGGTACGCTGGGCTACATGCTGCTTCCACATGTAGAAAGGCACCATGTGGTATGCTGGGCTACATGCTGCTTCCACATGTAGAAAGGCCCATGTGGTATGCTGGCTCCTGCTCTTCCACATGTAGAAAGGCACCATGTGGTATGCTGGGCTACATGCTGCTTCCACATGTAGAAAGGCACCATGTGGTACGCTGGGCTACATGCTGCTTCCACATGTTTGTTTTTCAAGACTTAAGCCACTTACACTAGTGTGAGAATTGGTCAATGAGTCCTCAAAATGTGATGGTGACCTGAGTAAGCCAATACAACCCATCTGGTTCTAGTAATAAAGTCAGTAACGAGAGGGTCGTACTGCTGGTGTTCTACCATTTGCTGTAGGACGAGGGACCCAGAGGAGGAAGAACAGCATTGACACCAAACCTCTCAAGGAACAGTGGGTACGTCAACAGGCTGCAGGTGTATCTGTGAGCAACAGTACACGATGTTGTGTCTTAGACCAGAGTTGCACGAATGTATTAAGGTATATAATATATACCTTAATACATTTCGCAACTTATGATGGGCCATTGCATGCTATAGAAATGCTTGCAACTTTGTTTCCTAGTCTTTCATATCCCATAATAGGCAGTTTTGGTAATGGATGAAGAACGTCGTAGCCTTTAATGGGCCTCTATATGTCGTTGTTTAGGATATTGTGTCTCTGTCTCCCTCTCCCCCCATCTCTAGTTCATAGCCCTCCGTAAGAGAGTTGGGATACTGAAGATGGGAGGGTTCCTGCACTCTGGCTTCCAGACCCTCTCCTCCTCTCCCTCCTCCTCCTCTCCTCTTCCTCCGACTACACCATTGCTCGGTACGTCTCCCCCTCTCTCCTCTCTCCTCTCTCTCCTCCCTCCTCTCCCTCCAACTACACCATTGCTCAGTACATACATACATACATAAGTACCTTCTCTCCCCTATGGTATATATACTTTTCTTATGGAACATACACATAGCTACATACTTCGACTCATAAGGTTTCACATTAATTATTTTCATCGGAAGGGGGAATGTTTACAAGGATTTGAATGATGTCAGCATTTTAAAAACGAAAATTTTAGGACTCAGGTTAAGTCAAAATAGACTTTAGGCCAGCAAAAAGTGATAGCACATAATGAGCTAAAGTTAGGAGGTATATAGATGATGTCATCCAAAAAACAAAAAGTGATAGCACATAATGAGCTAAAGTTAGGAGGTATATAGATGATGTCATCCAAAAACCAAAAAGTGATAGCACATAATGAGCTAAAGTTAGGAGGTATATAGATGATGTCATCCAAAAAACAAAAGTGATAGCACACAATGAGCTAAGTTAGGAGGTATGATGATGTCCATCCAAAACAAAAAATGATAGCACACAATGAGCTAAAGTTAGGAGGTATATAGATGATGTCATCCAAAAAACAAAAAGTGATAGCACACAATGAGCTAAAGTTAGGAGGTATATGATGTCATCCAAAAAACAAAAAGTGATAGCACACAATGAGCTAAAGTTAGGAGGTATATGATGTCATCCAAAAAACAAAAAGTGATAGCACACAATGAGCTAAAGTTAGGAGGTATATGATGTCATCCAAAAAACAAAAAGTGATAGCACACAATGAGCTAAAGTTAGGAGGTATATGATGTCATCCAAAAACCAAAAAGTGATAGCACATAATGAGCTAAAGTTAGGAGGTATATGATGTCATCCAAAAAACAAAAAGTGATAGCACACGATGAGCTAAAGTTAGGAGGTATATGATGTCATCCAAAAAACAAAAAGTGATAGCACACAATGAGCTAAAGTTAGGAGGTTATATGATGTCATCCAAAAAACAAAAAGTGATAGCACATAATGAGCTAAAGTTAGGAGGTATATAGATGATGTCATCCAAAAAACAAAAAGTGATAGCACATAATGAGCTAAAGTTAGGAGGTATATGATGTCATCCAAAAAACCAAAGCCACTAGGCCAATTCTTATACTTACCGTTACTTCTATGTTAACATTATGTATCAATTATGAATTATGCTGTAATATTATTCATCTCATGTTTGTTTATTTGTAATGTCAGACAATAATGGGTGTATACATTGTACATATGTTTACTCGTTACCATGGTGAATATAGTAAGACAGAAATGCACATTCCATTCTGACAGCACACACGAGAAAACTAGGCCTTTGAAAGTTGGGATAATTAAATGACCATAGACTGCCATATTTTTCATGTTAATGAATTTCACTCCCCCTCCTGTTGTTATTCTCCTGAAATTCTTTACTATTACTACATCCTTCCCCCTGAACCTCTTATTCTCCCAATTACTGACTCCCTATCACAACATCCCGATGCACGGTCTTCCATTAGTGGCATCCTCCATACTCCCACTCATCTGCCATTACATCCTTTCTTCCACCCCCTCGTTCTGCTACCACAACTAATGACAGAATCCCGGGCGTCTTTCATAGGGAGAAAGCTAAGTATTAGTTTCTCACCCCTCCACAGCAGTCACACCTGGCTCCCCCCCCTGGCCCTAGTCTCTCTGCATTTTATCACGCCCATGAGTTCATACAGTATGCATAGTTAGCCCATTGTTTGAGTCCATATTACACATAGTGTTAGCCCATTGTCTCCTTACTCTTTAATCATGCAGCTCATTACCATCACATCATCCAGCCCTGTTGTCTCCAACACACACAGACACACGGAAGCTGTGTGCATGCAGCGATTACAAGTACACATTTTCCCACCATTCTAGCGTATGTTTTGTGGAACATGACATGTGAACCAGTGGACAATGGACTACTAGATGCAGTGACATATTTCGCTGGTGATCTGGTGCACGGCAGTAGTATACTCCAGTCACGAAGGTCTTCAGTTCTACACTAGGTCTTCTGTGAATGTGTCATCACTTGGAGTGGACAGTTTGTGAGGGGAAATCCCCAGATAATGGACACCATCCTGTTGTTTACCTCTGCCCCTTTGTGGCCCCACACACCAGCTTCCTACAACTGATAAGAACTGTTATGAAATAGTCCAACCAGGGCTCACGTGTGTGTGTATGTAGAACACTTGTGCCAATTAAGGGCTGCATGTCACTTGTCCACCAAATAAGGTAATTGATTGATGTCATTACTATGGAATGTTGTCTTACACCTTAATTTTGTGTGTACTATGTATGTACCTATGTGGTATCGCTCTGTTGGTTTACCTAATGACTTTAGAAATCCGTTATCATAACGGCTTCTTTGTTACTACATACAATCAAAGGATGGGCACATGGCATTTTAATGACTTCTTCAGGTGTTCTGTTTGCAGACTGTAAACATGTGTTATTATGCTTCTATCAAGGGTCTACGTTTGGGCTCCTCATTACTGTATGTAGATAACAAGTACGGTAATCTATTCTTACTCTAAGATGTTCTGTTTGTACCGATTGATCGCCTGACAGGTATGTTATCTGTCTACGTTTACATTTTTAGAGACTTCTGTTTATTAACAGAATCATCTTCTTCAATCAGTGTTTCCGATGGTTTAATGGATACATCCTGCCTACATTATCGCTGGGTTTTGTTGCCATTTCACCATTTGCATTTCCCAGATGTTTGCTTGGCTAGCATCAACACACCCTCTTTGTTTATCAACACCAACATAATTATGTGGGTCTACGCAAGTCCATAGAAAATATAGAATATTGTGATTACCTAATAGTGATGTAATGTTGTGATGCTATGTTGGGCGTGATGTAATTGTATTTTCAAGCCTGGCTCCAGAGCTCAGGCCGTGCTGCATGTAAATACAACAGGGGGAGATCCCCTGGGGATTTCCCTCATGTATTTACATGATGTCATCCCTTCTCTTGCCTTCAATTTCTCTCTGGTTTTATGGTGGTATGATTTAGACGATCAGTTGCAACATACCTACCCACATTATACAACTAAGCAGGTTTATCTTATTAGCCCAAAAATGACCATTTCCTGCATTGCCAGTTATGGATATTGCGAAACACTTTGCACATGCCCACACTATGGTGTGATCCATATACATGCATACCATACATAGCTAAAATGAGGTGATTTTGATGATGAAGTGATGAAATGGCATTACCTCATAGAACATTCATGGACATGTTGTTTGTAAACAATGTCTACGATGTAGTTGCTATTGTGGAGCAGTGACAAGCAGGCTGTGGGGAGTAGCACATACAGTTCATGCTGACTATTAATGAAGTGGTATTGTTGATTGTGCATGCACAGGCACGTTGCATCATTTGGACGTAGGTTACTGCAACCAACTACAGAACATAAGGACCCTAATATACATAAAGTTAAATTCCATGAGATAATCATTAAGTCAACAAAGCCCAGCCTACACAAATCACACTACTTCAACCAAATATGGGTATTACACAAGCATCAGTGATAATGCAAAGTCATTGTACGTCCAAATGATAAATGATGCAACCTACCTGTGCATGCTGGGTAGGTGGAAGGTAGCAGGACATGTATTTCTGTTTGTGAGGTTATGACATTACATTTTCCATCTTGCTGTTCATCCACCCTCTTCCCTCTTCTCTTCCTCCCTCCCCCTCTCTGTCCCCAGTCTGCCTAGAAACATCTCCAAGTGCCGGCCGGGGGCTCCCCTCCCTCCCACCTCCTCTCGAGTGAAGCTACAGCTGGTGTTCGAAGAGGTTGGATCGGATTTCATCAACGCCAGCTACCTCGGCCGTCCTCCATGGCCACAAGAGTTCATTGCCACTCAGGTTCCTCTTCAGTCCACCGTCCCCGACTTCTGGAGGTCTGTCACACCATTGTCATGTGACCTATATACTGGGAAAATTTTGAGGGATATAACTTTTTCGTGGTATTTTGAACTGTCCACAAAAGTTTTTTGGCCTGTTTTACTTTTAGCAGCATTGGTTTAAAAATAGAATCGTAAAGATGATTGCATTAATGACATGTGACCTTACCTTTTCTCTTTCGCCATTATAGCAGTAAATTGAGACGTTTCATTACGTGACTAAATAAGACGGCTAATTGTTGGGTCCTCAAGTCATATGACGACTGTTTGTCCTCATTATTACCATGTGATCGTTATCAATTATAGTAGTCACGGTAACTCTACAAGTTTTCAGGCTTTTTAAAGGATGATTGTGGCGTGCGTGATAGTGTGTGGAATACCATACGATCACCGTCATCGCTGTGGGGAAGTTTTGGGGTATTGTAACTCCACCAAATTGGGTTTTTTATTTGGCCATGCGGAAATCTTTTAAGCATTATACAATTAATCTCGAGCTCAAAATGTCTCTGCATGCACCGTTAATTGCATGCAGTTGTGGGGGGAAATGTTTTTGGTGATTTCACGATCGCACTCAGCCAACATTGCTAAATTATAGTGTGTGTATGTGTGTACTCTTTTATGTACAGAATGATGTGGGAGCAGAGGGTGTCGGTTGCCATGGTGCTGGGAGAGCTGGGGGGTGTTGTGGGGGTGTGGCCAGGTAAAGGGGCGGAGTCTCGCCACTCCCTCGTCGTCAACGGCTCCTGGCAAGAAGGAGCTCTCTCTGTCACTGGGATACAGGAATATCCAGGTCGGAGACAAATGGTGGATCTTTTTTCATGGTTGATGAGAACCGCACGGCAACCACATTCATTTTGAAACATGCTGTGCTCACACAGCTGTGCAAATTGATGGATCCGTGCCTAATAAGGAGCGTACGACGCTGGTCTGAATATTGTCCCACAAAACAAGTAACTATTGCGTTAGTCCATGAGCTGGAAATATTACCATAGCTACATACGTAGGACACGTTGCTATTGGCTAGTATGCAGGTATAGCTAGGAACCCTGCAGCTTGCAGCTTCATCCCAGGGGAAGTGGTGGATACAGGATACAGTCAACAATAGAGTACATCCATGTTCTATATCATGACTCTAAAAATGTTGCTGGGTGGGAGAGAATCTATGTTGGTGCTTACCGCGGCTTCTATCTCACGGAGCAGTTGTATACTGGAAGGTGGTCAGCGATGGTTGTAATGAGGAACTTATGCCAAGGTCCATTCGACCACAGCTCGGGGCCTGAGTGTGTGTGGAGCAGTGTAGGCTGCAGCCACTGATTGTCGTGTGTACACAGCAGCTAGTGTTTGACGTGTGCCCTGTGTAAACACACATTCTCTCTCTGTTCACAATCAACCTCCTCGTGGCTTAGCGTCTAACCTCCATGTGGAAAACTCGCAGCAAAGGAGGGAACGTAACCTGGGGACTCCAACCCATTACATACTAGGTCTCAATACTAACCTATTTAGGAACCTACATATTCCTATGTGGTATATACCACATTTATTTGCTACTTCAATACATCGACTAGCTTTGTCTCCTCTCTTGTTCTTTTCTCCTTCTTTTCCTCTCCCTCTCCCCCCTCCCCTCCCCTCGCCTCCTCTCCCTCCATCTCCCCTCTCCTCCTCTCCCTCTCCCTCCTCCTTCTCTCCACCAGGAACAATCCCGACTCTAACGGTTCACCAATTCTCATTGACCAGCTCAATCGACTCTGAGACAGACTATCTCACTCTCTACCACTTCACCGGTTGGCCTGACGGCGGTGTGCCGCAGACCCCTCGACTCCTGCCCAGTCTCGTTCATCTCCTCCTGGCAGCCAGGCAGCAGCAGACTGTCCCTGGGGTACACACTGTCTCTCACTTCCACAGTTCCACCATTACATACGTCACTCCATACTTCTCTTTACATACATGCTTTACTACTGTGGATAGGGCCACTATATTATGTGCTGCAGTTCCACTCCATACTGTGGAATTAGGTCACTATAATGCTCTGTAGTTCCTCCCACTATTTATGCCCCCCTCTCCTTTTTATGACGATGGTATTTGAACCGTAGGGAATATTGCATTGAGCTCTTACAACTGCTGAATATGTAGTTCACTCGTACATTTTTACTCCATTATCCTTCAGCTGAGTATTCTGATTGGTCCAAAATCAGTTGTAATACTTACAATGAATGTACATTAAAAGGTAGTTTTCTTATAGTTCCATAGTTCTTGTTTTACTTTTCTCTTTCCGCGAGCCTGTATGAGTACTAACCAAAGGTCCCAGTACATACTGCCCTAGTGACCTACATATCTCCCTCTCCACTATGCAGCCTGTATGTGTGATGAGTACTAACCAAAGGCCCCAGTACATACTGCCCTAGTTGACCTACATATCTCCCCTTCATCCACTATGCAGCCTGTATGTGTGATGAGTACTAACCAAAGGTCCCAGTACATACTGCCCTAGGTGACCTACATATCTCCCTCTCCACTATGCAGCCTGTATGTGTGATGAGTACTACCAAGGCCCCAGTACATACTGCCCTAGTGACCTACATATCTCCCTCTCCACTATGCAGCCTGTATGTGTGATGAGTACTAACCAAAGGTCCCAGCACATACTGCCCTAGTGACCTACATATCTCCCTCTCCACTATGCAGCCTGTATGTGTGATGAGTACTAACCAAAGGCCCCAGTACATACTGCCCTAGTGACCTACATATCTCCCTCTCCACTATGCAGCCTGTATGAGTACTAACCAAAGGTCCCAGTACATACTGCCCTAGTGACCTACATATCTCCCTCTCCACTATGCAGCCTGTATGAGTACTAACCAAAGGTCCCAGTACATACTGCCCTAGTGACCTACATATCTCCCTCTCCACTATGCAGCCTGTATGTGTGATGAGTACTAACCAAAGTCCCAGTACATACTGCCCTAGTGACCTACATATCTCCCTCTCCACTATGCAGCCTGTATGAGTACTAACCAAAGGTCCCAGTACATACTGCCCTAGTGACCTACATATCTCCCTCTCCACTATGGCAGCCTGTATGTGTGATGAGTATAACCAAGGCCCCAGTACATACTGCCCTAGTGACCTACATATCTCCCTCTCCACTATGCAGCCTGTATGTGTGATGAGTACTAACCAAAGGTCCCAGTACATACTGCCCTAGTGACCTACATATCTCCCTCTCCACTATGCAGCCTGTATGTGTGATGAGTACTAACCAAAGGTCCCAGCACATACTGCCCTAGTGACCTACATATCTCCCTCTCCACTATGCAGCCTGTATGTGTGATGAGTACTAACCAAAGGTCCCAGTACATACGGCCCTAGTGACCTACATATCTCCCTCTCCACTATGCAGCCTGTATGTGTGATGAGTACTAACCAAAGGTCCCAGTACATACTGCCCTAGTGACCTACATATCTCCCTCTCCACTATGCAGCCTGTATGTGTGATGAGTACTAACCAAAGGTCCCAGCACATACTGCCCTAGTGACCTACATATCTCCCTCTCCACTATGCAGCCTGTGTGTGTGATGAGTACCAATGGAGGGGGCCGAACTGGGTGTCTGTGTGCTCTTGCTTGTGCCTATCAGATGATGACTGACCCCATTCCCGAACCACTGTCATGGGAACCTGACCAGAATATACTGGACCAGGTACGCACAGAACCCTGTATATACCAGTGTAGTTGACAATGGTGGTATGGAAGGAGCACAAAATGGTCTTGTAGCATAGTTTTTCGGGGACCTTTCTATTCCCACTTCATGAAGCACAGGGCCCCCCAATGATGTTTGGGTTTTCATTTTGAGACACCGTTAACAGCGAAAGGGACCGTTTAGTCTTCTAACTTTTCAACTAGTAAACTTACTGCCTCATTTTCATAGCTGTCCAATATTTTGAACTACATTCCACCCTCCCTCCACCTTTCTCTTCTCTTGGTTTTTGCCTGTGTGTGGTGGCAGGTGATTAGAGGGCTGAGGAAGATGAGGGGAGGACTGGTGGCCACCCAGAGACAGTTCGAGTGTCTCCATCTGTCACTGGAGACTATGGTGACAGTGGGGATGGGGGGAGGGGAGGAGGGGGAGGAGGAGGAGGGGGAGGGGCAACAGCGGAAACCAAAGAAGAAGAGCAAGAGATCAAAAGGTGAGCAGTCATACTTGTGTTGTGTCGTGGTGTCAGGAAGCAGTAGTAAAGACTTACGTACTTTCACAACCGTAGCTACCATGTAGTTGTGATGCCTGTGTGTGTGTGTGTGTGTGTGACCCAGGGAACAAGAAGGAGAAGACCTCCTCCAAAAGGTCCAAGAGGCAGTCAGCGGGGAGGGGGAAGAGAGGAGGAGGAGAGAGCCTGCTGCCAGAGGGAGAAGAAGGCCCAATGTGGGACGACCAACTCCGCTCGCAGATGATGATGTTCTAACTCTAGATCTTCTAACCCACTCTCTCATTTTACAGGACTGTTCATGTGTAAAAATAGTAAAAAAATAGTAACAAAATCTCTCCATACATTTACTCTGCATCGTTCTTTCACTATTTGTATTGTGCAAGACATGATTTTGTCAATAATACTATGGCGTAATGCGCGTATGTAAATCCTTTGGTTTGTTAACAATAGAGATGCATACGTATACTTTTAAAGAGCGTCATAGCATAATTCAGCCAGACAATGAATATTTGTTAAGTATTCAGAAGATTTACAATGGGTTGGTATAATACACGCAGTACTGACTTTAATTACACAAACAAATTGAACCAAACGTTAATGGTGGGTATATATACATGAATCACACTATAAATCAGTTTAATAGTTCTTCAATTTGAAGTGTTGAATTTATCACAAAGATGATTACCAGCAAAAATTCGCCTCCAGTGTCTTACAAGTGGTGGAATAAGAAAACCAAAGTAATTGTGTTTTACACACTTATAAAAAAAATCTATATTGTTGACTGTCTTCACACAAAATGCCTCAAAAGTGAAAAAAAGGGAGCTTAAAAATGGTCTATGGATGTATAAAAGTCTGGTCTATGAATTTGATTTAGTAGTTTTGGAGGTGAGTGGGTGCTGGTGTGGATGTGAGGAGGTGGAGGGGAGAGTGGGTACTGGTGGTGTGGTGGGGCTGGAAACTCCCTCGGAGGCTGCTGGGGTAGGTTTTGGGGATGTGGGAACCGTTGCTGGTGGTTGTCTCGGTAGTTCTGGGGGGCCAGAATTCTGGGGCGGGGGCTGGTTTCCGTTATTTAGTGGGCCTGGGGGGTCAGAATTCTGAGGAGGAGGGTTGTCTCCATTTTGAAGCCCAGGATTCTGGTCTGCAGGTTGGTCCTCATTATCTGGGTTGGGAGGAGGAGGTAGCTGGGGTCCATGGAGTGGTGGAATACCCCCATTCCCATTCTCAGGGTCCGGACAAACTCTGCCTAATCTGCGATGACGTTCCTGCAGATGTACACAACAACAGTCGGTCATAATGTGTGGGATATAGATGCCACTTGTAGGTATGTACAAATAGAGCCAGGCAGGGCCACACAATAGGTGGCAGTATAGACCCAGGGCCAGGTGGCCGTGGAGTATAGTAGAGTCTAGTAGAGTCGAGACTGGGTGTCTGGCGGCTGTTGTTTTAACAGGACGTGGGACTTTTTCCCCGCTCACAATAATGCCCACACCCAGACTCTAGCTATCAGCAAAGACATACACACACCACAGGCAGAGCTGCAGGCTGCAACAAACAGGAGAGACCTGCAAAGTGGCCCCTCATTGACTGCCCCAGCAAGCCCCTGGCATCTGTGGCATTTGTTTGCCACAGGAACTGTGCCTCTACGGGTGGTCTATTTTTCATATAGTGAGGTTTAGGTAAACAGTGAGAATGAGTGGGCATGCAGTGTCATAAGGCCTTACTACATATACATACCACCTTACTATGTACCACAGTGAACTCTTACTTAAAGGCTTTATTTGTGACTACTAATGATGCCAGGAAACCAAAATAGTCAGTTGTATGGGGCCACTCTCCTATATTATAATGCTCTGCTACTTGGCTTACTACAGCGTTCAGTTGGATTCTTTCGTGAAGGATTATAGCTACTACAACAGCTCTTCTGTTTGTGTATGCAAAACGATAGCTGTTGACTAAACGCTGCAAAAACAAAGATGGTGTTTTCAATCTGCCATGTGAGTAGGCATTCTTGGGCCACACAAATGCACTATAACACAGTCTGTCCAAACACTCCCTACTGTAGCTCAAGGATTATTCATCGCCCACCCTTCGTCTCTTCTCTCGGGGAGTTTTCCACAGAGAGTGGAGCGATATTCATCATTAGGCCTCTATTGTACCCTGGCCGCCGTGCAACGCGTTCACACGGACTCAACAACTGCCAGAGGTGTCAGGTTTACAAAACGGCTGTGTTTGTTGTGACAACCAAAGTGCCAGTCAGGCAGAGTAGCCGCAAGGCAGCATGTGGAATCAGCTATTTAGGAAGGGAAATGACCTGGGGAAATTTCCTTGTTAACTTAACTTCCCCTGGGTAATTTTGCAGGAATGAATACCTCAATGCATATTTGGAAGTAATTAGAAACAAACATCAAAACTGGTCTTAATTAAAGGGAATGTGTCAGTAGGGTAAGGGCTAAATATTTAGAAATGTTCCTAAAGATAGAACAAAACAATAGGGCCCAGTGCAAGAATGCAATTTAGTTTCCATCAGTTTCTACGTTCAGTCCTTAGCCACACTCCTTTTATGTACCTCCACACTCTGCAGCTTTGCAGGAGGTGGCAGACTATACATCACAGTCTTAATGTGGCAGCTAAATTTTAGAAACTGGAAACTTAATTGCATTCCTGCATTGGGGACCTATTGTTTTTCTACTTTAACCTTCTCCCACTTGCAACACTCCCACAAAGACTAGCTGGCATTATACAGGCACCTACAGAGATCAGAGGGAATAGCAGCAGTCTTTACTGGGAGGTGAGGCTCTCCTCTCCTCCCCTCACCCTCCTCTGTCCCTCCCCTAGCTACTCACACCCACCCAAAGGCTACAACCTGAATACATAGAGTGCTGACACTAAACAGAGTACCAGTGAGACACTCAGATAATAATATGTACACACCTATAGAGATAGCAGAGCCCAAAGCCCAGTAGTACTCCCAGTATGACCGACAGCACTAGAGACACCCCAAAAGCAACGTAGATTTTCTGAGCATCATCATCATCAGGATTGGAGGAGACAAAGGGATCAGTACTAATATTGGAACACAGTTCCCTCCTGACAGTACCAGTCCACTAGTCCCTATAGATGCGGTCTTCTCCCAGAATATATTCAGTTTACTGACGAACTCGATGGATGAGTTAACGACACCGTAGACATGGGTCACCCCTATGAGCATGTGCTTGTGCTCCAGACTCCATGAGAGACTGAGACATGACCTGCCACCATCACAGACTGTAGCCTGTGTGGTGAGAGAAGAAAAAAAACACAGTTAATAAACATTGAGAGTAATCATGTAGCTAATATTAAAAGGGAATATCATACTTTTTTTAGCTTTGCATTACAGACTCGGAATCCTACTATGATTTGAGCCCCTACGCACACCAAAGTGTTATTAAGCTATTGGTAGCAAAGTCTCTTCACACACGCACACATCTGGGAACTGGGCAAGATTGAATAGTAATAACCAATGACCCAGTCTGGGAAAATGTGAGCAAGGAAGTGCTGGGTTGTGTGGGTGGCCCACTATTTGCCTAGAGCAACATAATGTCCAGTTGGTATAGTTCATTTCACAGGTGGCAGTGAAATCACTGTAGCTAAACAGTGCTCTATGAATAATGCTAATGACATCATCAAAGACATAATAGCGGCAAACAAATGGTACACTGGTTTTGCAACCCACACAAACCAAGAGTGCACAGAGCGCTATTTAGCTGTGTGTGGAGCATGTGTACTTGTGTACTGGTGTAGATGACGCTGGTCCACACCCAGGGTCTTTACCTCTGCATGCACAGTTCATGCAAGTTCACCCCGATTGGCATGCCAGGGCAACAGGCAATGGATGCAGCATGCAGTGCTAGCACATAAAGTCATGACTTCCCCTTAGGAATTCCCTGCTAGCTCTTAGTCATAGCTAGTATACATTATAATGCTGTTCTTAGGGAGGGATTAAGAATTACTTTGGTGATATAATATAATTGTCCCCAAAGAACCCCCTTATAATTATACAAGTCAAAGTCTTTGTATTGCCATCGAAAGGCATACAGCAATGCATATTTTAATGCAGCCTTGATAGAGAGTGCATTCGTATAATGTGTATGCTAAAATTTGTTGGGATACATGGGCCAGTAATATCTATAGAGACAACTTTGGAAAGGGTTTGCAAGTCTAGAAATGGCTATTGCACACACACACTCTCTCTTTCTCAGAAGTAAATGTAAAATTCACCAAGTCCCCATACAGACGCTAGATACAGGCCCACATGAAGGTATTAGACCATGTGATGCCATGCACACACTAAAAAAACAACAAATTCCTAGTTATATTGTACACAGTCACCAATAGTATGCTGTGTAGTTTGTGGAAAGTGATGGTATAGGTACGAGTCACATACGTTTATCACACGGTCGATGACGAGATGATTCTCTTCTCCCTCGACACACAGAGAGAGATGTTCCTTGCTGAGCAGTCTTGTCTTCAGTTTCACGTTACCCTCTCGCGACACAGGTGAAAACTCTCCCCACGTCTTTACTTGAGACTCGATTGATTCGCAGCACAGTTCCAGATGTACTGTACAACTCCGGGTTGTCGTTCGTTACATTGTCTCCGGTCTCCCAGTGCAGACAAGTTCTGTCACCGTCGAGGAACGGTGCTATTTCTACTGATGTTCTGACAGCAGCAACGACCTGGTGTTCTTCAAACACTGTCACTGAGATGGAACGAGTTTCATAGCTATCCGGGAACCTCAAGATGTAAATTGATCCATTGTCACGTGTCACGGGTTCAATGACAATTTTCCCATTTGTCCCACTCACTTTCTCTTCATTTTTAGAGTAATGATACCTGTCCCCTACATCAGGAACTCCTGGCACTACACCAAAGTCAATGGTTCCACGTTCTCCAACTCGGAAAGTCAGAGATCCATTAGTATTGTTGACGAAATACGGCTTACCTAGGATTGAAAATCACTATGAAATTTAGCTGTGTAAAAATAAGCTGATCTTCAAGTAGACTTACGTACGATTTATTTTGAAGCTCAGTGTCTCATTTTGGCTTGGATCCAGCTTAGAGCTGCAGGTCACGTGGTAAGGATCTTTACTGGCATGGTTCTCGCCCAGAGATGTGAACCGGATGCGGGACCACCAACCCTCCTCTTCAACATCCTCGGGCAGCTGGGGAACTATAGTCCATTTCACCTCCGACGGGGCCGTGTCGCAATCGGAGAAGTAGCACTTCATAGCGAGGCTCTGCAGGGCATTTTGGTCATCGGGAAGCATAAACACCTGGTGGCTTGCCCCTACGTTTTCCAAGTTAACCTTGCAACCTGCAGAAAGGAAATAGCATTGAATGGTCTCTGCTGAGCACCGAGCCTAGCCACTGTAACGCTTACCTGCTGCGCTGACTTCCCACACTACTGCAAGTACGAAACAAGCGATGCACACCCGATAGTGGCTGCTCATTGCAGAATAACAGCCTTCAACAATAGGATAGTACTTTTGCTACCAAATTGGCACCCCAAAACTACAACCCGTCTTTTTATAGCAGCTAGCTAGCTTGAGCCAAGTCGATTTTATGCGCATGCGTAGGCGCGCAGTGCAAGCGTATGTATGTACGTGTGTGTGGCGGTGTTGGGGATCGAGTGCTAGAAGGAGTGAAGCCGACGAGAATGCCTAAGATCAAGGTACCCAGCAGTGATCAGAAGGAGCCGCAGGCAAAGAAGAAGCACGTTCGTTTGAAGAACGCCTTCCCGCCCAGTACCAAAGAGAGACGTTCGGTTGCCAGGGCCCAGAAGCTGGCTAAACAAAATCTCTCCGCTGCTCCGAGGAAGGCTGCCCCCAGCTTTCAGGAAGCCTTCGGCTCTTCTGACGACGAGGTAAGCTAGTAACCCTGGCCGAGCCTCCTCCGGCGCAGCTGCCAGAGAAAACGCTAACGCTTTGATTGTGTGTCGCAAGATTGGACAAGAGCCCGCGTAAACCTCTCCCCTTTCCAGTGCTCGACTTTCGCCGGGTTTGAGGACGTGAGGCACGATCTGCTGCGTCTGGAGGACTTTCTTCAGCAGAGAAAAGCCTCGAATGGGGCCTCGGGCGCCGCAAATGAAGACGGTAAGAAAACACAACGAGTTGCGCACTAATTGGAGTTAGCGCCGCTGGCTTACCTCTATCGTCCGCGGATAGGTGCGGAATCTATGGATGCTGGAGAGCCGAGGGCGGAGGACTCGGAGAGCGACACCGACGACTGGGTACCTGAAGAGAGAGAGCTACCAGTCTCCAGTGGAGGATTTAGTTGTACAGACACCAAGACAGCTGGGGAGGTGGAGTTTGCTGAAGAAGGAGAGCCTCTGAAACTGAGCGAGGAGGACCAGTCCACCTCAGAGCCTCTCAGAACTCCCTCTCAGTCGTCCACTGTGATCGTGAGGCAGTCCCAGCGAGCTCGAGTCCCGTCCAAGAAGACAGCTCCTCAGCTGGCGATGGAGAAAGAGAGGGCGTCGTCCCCCGGGGGGCCCCAGCCCCCCCGAAAGAGGGGGGTTCGTTGCATGGAGTGCCCCGCCTGCCTGCGGACCGAAGATTGTGGCTCCTGCGTCTTCTGCAAAGACAAGCCAAAGTTTGGGGGACCCGGGGTGAAGAAGCAGGCCTGCGTGTGAGGGCACTACCATCACTGTCAGTCTGTTGTCTGTGTGTACATGTTTTATTGTCAACAGGGACCGTCCGTTACTGTTGCTTACTTACCCCTCCTTCCTTCATTTCTTCCCCTCTACCTCCCCCCTTCTCTCCCTCCATCACCTGTAGCCATCGTAAGTGTCTGAATCTGGTGAGAGATCCAAGCGCCATTCTGCAGACCAAGTCTCTCAGAAAGACTCCACGCTCAGGTCACATGTCAGGTCACATGACAATCACTTGTTCTGTGTAATTTTGCTGGAAACACGTGAAAATTCAACATTCTAGTTCAACCGTGTAGGAGGGTCCCTCACCCAAAACTATTGCAGAAAAGAAACTTTTTCCTATTATATGCCAAACGCACCACCCACCTATCTATTGATGTATATATAATCACCTTGTTCAGTGTGTCCTGCTGATAAGTAAATATTAGTCCACGTTTACTCAGTGTGTGTGATTTGCAAAAGTGAATAAATTAATTCTCCGCCAGCAGAAGGAGCCACTGACTCCACCCCCCAACAGGCCAGCCCATTGAGACCGCGACGGTTCACCCTCGGTCCCACCCGGGGTGGGGGGCGAAAGAGAGACCACGACGGTCTCTCGGTCCATCTACAGTGGCCGGTAGGTAGAGAAAACGGGGGGGGGGGGGGGGTTTTCCCTGCAATGCAATCTGTAAAAAATACTCAATTGTCCTTTTTGGGCAAGTTAAACATGTGATCATCATTTTCTACCGCTTTCTCCATTTAACATTCTCCGCAGTAATACTATTTAAATATGTGCATATGACTTTGTTTGTGTGCAGTGGAACCCGGACATCACTGGGGTCCCAGTCTATTCCACCAGCAGTGGTACGGAATCGGGACGCACTCTGAACCTCTGCAAGACCTGTGGAAGTGCAGGCAACGTTGAGGTACTGTGTGTACATTAACCATATCACTGTATGTATGTGTGTATATTGTGGTTTCAAGTTGAGCAGTGGGCTTCAGTTCATAGATGTGCTAATTATGTCCAGTGGAATGTGGAAGGAAGTAAAGTATAGGAAATTGTCATAAGTGCATGTCAAATATGAATGGAATGTTGTAACCACTGTCTTGGTTTTTTCTCTCTCTTTCTTCCCTCTCCCCCCTCTCCCCGCTCTCCCCGTCTCCCCCTTCTCCCCACTCTCCCAGATGGTGACTTGTGTGGTATGTTGCCAGATGTTTCACACGTTTTGTGCGGGTGGAGCCTCGTTGCCATTGGCAACCAAGAATCTCTACACCTGCTCCTTGTGTGTGACGTGTGACGTGTGTGGAGAAGGAGATAATGTGAGTTGTGTGATGTTGAACATCTACATACAATTTTTGCTGAAACAACACATTTTTAGTGAACAAACGTGATAGTTGCTGACATGCTGCCCTCTCTTTTCCCCTCTCTCCACCTCGTTCAGTGTGTCACCTGCACGTCATGTGACCGGTGGTTCCACAAGGCCTGTATGAGTGAGCACCGGTCTTACGTTGGTGGGCGTGGCACCTGGAGGTGCGTGGCTGTACCCACTGTGTCTCCTGTAGAAGTACCACCCCCGGAGAGGTGAGGGAGGGAGGGAGGGAGGGAGGGAGGTGGGAGGTGAGGGAGGGAGGGGGTAGGTGAGAATGGAACTTAGTTACTTTCGTGAACATGTTGTGAATGTCTTCTCTTGCAAACATTTAGACACGAACCATAGGCATACTGCTATTTATGAATCACAAAACTTCCGTGTTTAAAAATGGTGATGTCACTTGCAAGTCGTTTGAGTCTGTTTTGTGGAAGGAGAGGGTCGTTTGAGTCTGTTTTGTGGAAGGAGAGGGAGTGGTGCGTCAGGCACGAGCAAGGAATATGTGCCAGCGTAGCGTTCGTGATGAGTGGGTAGATGCTAAGGTAATGTGGCACTGCAATAACTAGGGGGTTTTGGGCTGTGCCTCACTGATCTTCCACATGCACACACAACAGATGGAGATGTCCAAGTAGGATTTCCATATACAATTTAGGAAATAGTAAATAGTGCCCTAGTGGACGGAGGTTCTTTAGCTGCACTCTGCATGTCACGAATGCCAGCTTGTAGTTGTTTTCACTACCTTTCATACAGTCGGGATTCCTGCACGTAGTCGAACTATTTCTCCCGCCAAAACGGGAACACAAAATGTGTAAGATGTTGCAACTACAGTGCGTGCATTACCATGTACAGCTGCTACATACCTCAGGTCATGCGCATGCAGAGTCCTGTGCATATCTCCCCGCACACACACACACACGTACACTACGCCGTGAAGCTTTAGGTAGCATTTTCACCATCCAAACATGTCCTCCTCTACTCCTATTCCTCTCACATCACCTGTGACATGACTGAGCGAGAGGAATCTCTGTCAGTAGAAGACCTAAAACTGTCAGATTCACTCGGTAGTGGCCCCTGAAATCCAGCTCATAGCACTAACACGACACTTGTATTGTAATGATGTCATTGATCTCAGTTTCATCACGTGGTCTAATCTTCATGGGATAAACATTTAATGAACACGTTTGCAAATTAGTTTTGCGGACATTTTTGTTGGGAACCAGGTTAAGTAATCAATAGAAAATTGTATGTTTCCATATGGCACCAATATACATACGTTTAAAAAATAGCATTTTTTCATTACTTTCCATGTTCTCTGGCTGAAGGTTTCTTGCTGTAAACCTTCAGCCAATAGACTGCCAGAAAACCTAGGAACCTTCAGCCATTAGACTGCCAGAAAACCTAGGAACCTTAAGCCATTAGACTGCCAGAAAACCTAGGAACCTTAAGCCATTAGACTGCCAGAAACTAGGAACCTTAGCCACGCCAAAAACCTAGGAACCTTAAGCCATTAGACTGCCAGAAAACCTAGGAACCTTCATCATTAGACTGCCAGAAAACCTAGGAACCTTCAGCCAGAAACATGTAAGCACTCAATGTTGTGTATCAGTGTCCAGAGTCGATGTGGTACGAGGATTTCATGTACTGTAAGACGTGCTACGACCTGAAGCAGAAGGGGAACTTCTGTCCCCTGTGTCTGCAGTGCTACCAGGACTCGGACTTCACCACCAAGGTCAGGGGAGAGGGAGGGAGTGGAGTTTTATCCACGGTTTGACGCGTGTGATTTCGTTTTTTGTGCGTACGAAGACTTGATAGTTCTCCCCCGTCTCGTTCCAGATGGTGCAGTGCGGAAGATGTGAGTTCTGGATCCACGCCGCTTGCGAAGACATGTCAGGTAATTAAGCCTTCCCACCCCCTATTCCAATATAATATCTACTCTCTCAATAATGTGTTCTTGATTCAATCCACTCTGCGTGTGTGTGGAGGATACTTGTGGTTGCTGATCATTCCCCACATATGAAAATTGTGTCTGTATTGTCGACATATAGGGTCTCCATAAAATGCCGAGTCGTGCCCTTATTTCCCACATGCATACTTTTCTCAGAACTCCCCTCTCAGAACCGCTGGTTGAATTGTCCCACTTCCTTCCATGTGGTCACTCTTCTAGTCGAGTTCACCCACCTCACTTACACGGGGTCACTAGGTCACTCTTCTAGTCGAGTTCACCCACCTCACTTTCACTACTATTTTTTAGCCATGTGCAAGCCAGGCGTCTGTCTGCTCCACTTCCTTCCATGTGGTCACTCTGCTAGTCTAGTGCACTACCTCACTTCCGTTGGGGTCACTACTATTTTTAGCCAAGTGCAACTTCAACTTTGTTGCAAACTTTTGTCTTTTCCTTGCTCCGAAATTCTTTTCTTCGTCTTTTATGATTGTTCTGCTTCCCCCTGCACCTATGTATGACAACTGAGATAATGAAAAGCACTAAAGTGCAAACCCTCGGCGGTAAACTAGCGAGTTGTAGCATCGCTGTATGCTGGGCCGTGCGTCATCGACAGAGCCAGTAACACGAGTCTCACCGTAACACAGGGTAGTTGCATTAGCGGTTAGAGCAATAGCTCAGGTGTTTCAGAGGCTCTCATATTTGCTTTATTCAATCTATCTGCTCTTCTGTGTTTCAATGCTCTCGCCAGACGTTTTATAGATGGGAAGGCAAGGCCGCAACCACAAACTGCTCGCCACCTGAACTATTGCGAACATACCTTGCTCAGCATATTTATCGTTTATCCACAGGGAACAGAGATCAAAACTGACAGGAGGCCATATACAACCAAGCGCATGCTCCGGCGATTAATTGACATTACGCGTGCGCGCTATATAGCCTGCAGGAGATGGCGCGTGCGCGATCGACTGTGCGTTGGCTTTTTCGCTTGTTTTCACGCCATATCTCTGGAACGCAGTCGTTTCAGGAAAATCGCCACATTAATATCAATCTTCTCGTCGTTCACAACCCGTTGGTGCCACTCATTGGCCGCCTCGTAGCCTGTAGTGCTAGAACTCGCGCGGACGGACAGACAGACGGACAGACAGAACGACTACTGTAACCCTCGCTGCGCATGCGCGCCGAGGGTTAACAAGGTAGGCCTGGTAAAAAAAACTCGCTTAAAGAAGGCCGAGTGCCTTACTCCACCGTAGCCTAGGACGTCTTTTTGTGGTTGTCTGGTTACGAAACACTGCCAGTCGTGGAGTCATCTACTAGACTGAGGTAAACCCTTGGCTTCTTTCTTTCTCGGAACACCACTTCTTCATTATATGTTCACCTCTAGTGCCCCTGGTGTGTGGTAACTGGTGTCTTCATTTCGTGGAGCCAGGCTGCCCATTCCCTGTATATGTCATTGTGATAATATTCCATAGTTGTGCAAAGACTGGGCCCTTGGCTTCTTTCTTTCTCGGAAAACCAACTATTTTACTCCTGACTGTATACCTCAGTTTATACAGCTGATTTCAGCAAGCATGGCAGTGAGCCCTGCACAATTAACAACTGTTAGTGAAGTGGGGTGGGGTGGGGTGCAGGGAAATCGTTCTGTCAGTCACACACGTCGCTTCAATACTCACTGTGGCCATGGGTTTTAGTTCCATCTGACACTGGCGGCTGTGGAGTTCCCATCTGACAGTGGCGGCTGTGGAGTTCCATCTGACACTGGTGGCTGTGGAGTTCCATTTGACAGTGGCGGCTGTGGAGTCCCATCTGACACTGGCGGCTGTGGAGTCCCCACTAATTGATACAAAGACTGAGGTTAACCCTTGGCTCCTTCCCGGAACACCGGCTCTTTGACTGTATGTGTGTGCCTCAGTACGTAACATGTGGCCAGCTAGGGAGGGAGCAGTCTGCCAGGAAGTCAGCGATTCTGTCGCCACTACCGGCAAGCCACCATGGCTGAGAGCCTGCTGTATAGAAGCTATGGAGACATTACCTACCGTTGAACATCATCATCACATTCAGCAAAGATCCAGTCATGCGTCCCTTTGTCATGCACAGGTCCAGGTCACAACTAACACGTCTTTCTTTCCGCGGCTCAGTGTATGACGTCATCAAGTAGGGAAATCCCCTGGGAACTCCCGTGTTGTCGGTAACACCTAACATTGCAGTCCTCTTACCTTTGTCTACATGGCCTCTGTTACTACACCATGCTGTACATACACCGTGAATGAAAAGGCAGAGTTGAACCTCCAATAATGACTTGTGTAATAGTGAGCCATCTGGTTGTAAGAAGCCTATAAGCAAGCAGACTTCTCCACCATGCCCCAGTAGACTCTGAAGACCCACAAAATGGAGTCAGGATGGAGTATATACGTAATTGAGACACTGGGCCACTTCCTGAGCTACAAATTGTAACGTGGGTTTTGGGATTGCCTCTGGCTGCTGGCTTACATTGACTTTCTTTTTGTGTACCTTATTCGAATTTCTACTTCCTTCCTCCTCTCCGGTCACTTCCTCTCCACATTTCCTCCCCTCATCTCCTTTCCTCCCTCTCCCTCCCTCCTCCCTCCCTCTCAACACGCTACTTAGATGCATGCTGGGAAACATAAATCAGAGAGACCAGTGGAGCGTGGCCAATATTGTAGTTGGTGACCTGTAGCTAGGTGTGGGAGCAAAGGCATCTTTCTGCATGCGTATGTGCATGCTTGGCTAATGAACGTAACAAATCATATTCATAGCTGGAAATCCGTTGGTTTGGAGGAAGTGGATGCAGTGTGCAACATCATCATTCCCAGTCAGTTAGTGACACCTCCACCAGTACTATGCACACAGTGGTGGGGAATGTCTAGGGACAGTCCCACAGCTGTTGTTGATTAACGGTCTTCATTTTCTTGCACACAAAGTACACTGATTTCAGCTTTGTACATGTGTGCTATATTTAGCACCAGCTCAATTACGTCACAACAGTCGCTAAATTTAGTTCCGTGCTGAAATTATAGATCCGCCCACAAGTTTATTCTCAGCAGCTAATCCATGTGGGCCGTCTGGGACAAGACCCACCCTAACACTTGTGTGGGTTCAATAAGCCTCTAAGGTGTGGGTCACAACAGTATGTGGAGCATGTGCAAACATGAATAGATTTCCTGGAGTGTAGGCTGTTCTACTCCTATGAGGTAATGACCTGCTGCATGAATTGCAGCGTAGGTGTCAGTCAGGAACCCCTGGGGAATCCCCTCATTCAGATATTGCCAAAACTCTAGTTTAGCATCTGGGTTCCCAAAAGATAGGGATGTCACTTTATGGGTCTTCTCCGCTGTAGTGTCTCGTGTCCAAATACACTCCATAGTGTCCCTGCCTGTCTGTTGTTGATGTTTCGTCTAGAAAAACATCTTCCTTCCTTCCTCCCACCCCCTCTCTCTATTTGATGCCTTACTCTACCTTGGCCCTGTGGCTTGCTCATACCTTATAGCGAGCAATATTTGGAGCAAATTTCGCCAGCTTATTAGCCATTAGAAAAGTTCTTCTCCGCCATTTTTGTAGGCGAGGATATTTTTATTGCGAGACCAGCGATCTGCAAAAGGTGAAATTCGTGCTTGTTACCGAGACACGATAGTTTTTTCCCATCGAAGGATTCCCAGTGTAACGCGGCAGTAGCCTGTCTCTCTCAGTGCACTGTCTCCCACATTCATCAACCTTCAATGATGAAACAACGCTATTCACAAGTTTCGTGCATGGAAGTCGTTGCGGTGTTCAGTTTGAGTGAGGATAAGGAGGAGAGAGTGATGTAATGTGATGTAATAATGTGCTAATGCCCACTGGCCTGGCGGTACATTGAGTCACTGGGGAACAAGCTGGGCAGCTCCCTCTGTGCCATTGGTCATGATTCACTCCTCGTTCATTCACCTCCTTCCTCTCTCTCTCTCTCTCCCCCTTTCTTCATACCATTCCCCCACCTCCCCACACATTGTGCATGCTGTACGTGATTATGAAACTGAAGAACACGATGATGAGTATTGCAAGGCCTAAATTTAGAAACGGAAACTTGATTGCATTCTTTTGCCATATTTAGTAACATATCTAAGTTTAGCCACGTACCCCACATGGGGACAGTGCACATTGCATGGTCTTGAATTTATGTTCTTCCATGACAATTATGATGACACCAAATGGAATTGCAAAGATTTTACGCACATTTTGATTAGGTATTGATAGCACCATCTATATAATACAAAAATCGTGCAACTCAGATGACTAGGTTGGATCCACCGTTGAAATTCAAAATAACTGTTTCTCTTCTCTCCAGATGACCAGTATGAGGTGCTGTCTGATCTGCCTGAAGAGGCGGTTGTGTTCCACTGCCGTCAGTGCCGAGAGAGGAGAGAGAGGGGGAAGAGGGTGGAGGGAGGAGAGAGGGAGCTGACGTGGAGAGACGCAGTCAATAGATCCATGAGAGAAGCCTTCTCAAAGGTGGGGGAGGAGTGAGAGGGGAAGGGGGGTGGTGGATCAGTTGACAGAGTTCAACGACAGAGTTCAATTGTCAGCCATTCTTGTGGTCCTGTGTTCTTCTTTATAGTGGCTAAGTATACACATAGGGACTTCCACGGCTGTTATGTTATGTCCTTCTCAAACGGAACACGTTTTTTTTATATTGATTGATGTGGCAAGACTTTAGAGAATTCTGCTGGATCCATTTCCTAGTAGTCTCACTTGAGAAAGTCCTATAGTTACATACATTATGAAGTCCTATTGAAGCCCTGTATAATGTCCTCTGTCTAACCTGTGTTTCTTGTTGTATGGCATGGACTGTTGTCCACGTCCACTGAGCATCTGTTGCGACATACAGTATGGAGTAAACGATACAACTAAGGCTCAGTGGTTGCAAGTTGTTGAGATTAAAGCTGGCCCTTTGAATGATTTCTTGAATCGAGGTGTGCGTTACGAGCGCGTCAAACTGAAAATATGATTTTGTCACTGACCAATTTAAAATCTCGGTATCCAAGCAGCTGGGGATCAAGAGGTGTACAGTAATGTTCTTCTTCATGGATGTTTAATGGCGGTCTCGTTCTCCTCTCTAACCAGGTGCTGGAGGCCATACATCCGCCTGTCCACACCTCTCTCTTCTCTGACCTCAACAACCTCCGTAGAGAGATGGACCGCCGAGAGTGGAGCTCTGTGGTTAGCCCCACCCCCTCCCTCTCTCCCTCCCTCCCTTACCTTCTCCTTCGCTCCATTCATGTTGGACCACTAATATTGTCCCCTCCCCCCTTCTCTCCATCTCATCCCTCTCTCCCTTCCTCTCTCTTCCCTTTCTCATTTCACAATCTCTTCCACTGAATCTCCTTCCTCTTCCTCCAGTCTTCGTTTGCGGAGGAGGTGAAGGAATCCATTGAGAGATGTGTTCAAACTCACAAACCACAGTCTCCAGAAGCTGAAGCTGCACACTCTATGGGCTCCACTGTTACAAAGGTCTGTCTCTTCTCTCTCCTCATGTATTGTGTATATAGTACAACAGCACCTAAAAAATTGTGCTCTTGACTTGTATAATATAGTGAGTGTGGTATTCGAGGTAAATATTCGCTCTTTGGTTCTGTAGAATTCTTATAAAACGATGAAAACAGTGCATCCACCTTGATGTGTGCACAATAAATGGCAAATGAAAATCCATGTTTCTCTTATTAATGTAATAAAACCCACTATACAGTACTTGTGTTATTTGTGTGTCTGTAACTTTGTGAACTACTGTATATATATATATTGTCTGTGTAGGAGTTGATAAGGTGTTTCCCCTGGTATGCCCTGGAGTGTGGGGAGACGTGGAGGAAGGAGAGGGAGGTGAGGGTGGTGAGGAGGTGAAGATGGAGACGAGTGTGAGTTGTGATAGTGACGCAGTGACCCAGCCCCCTCCCCCAGAGTCCGCAGCCATTCCTGCAACGCCATTGGAGCCTTGTCGTTGGTGAGCCGCCCTCCCATCCCTCTCTCTCTTTGTCGGTTTTTTCAAACTCTTTGTGAAACTAGTGCACTAGGCAAATGCAGGAGCTGTATCTTCATAGTCATAGCAACGTTGTTGTGGTCGTTGATGAACATTACTCAAGAGCCAGATCATTGTGAGTTTGAGTGGGTGGCTGACTGGTTAGACTGAAGCCTCTCCTGTTGTGTTGCATCAGTTCCTTTACTGTTCTCGTGGGCAGCTTGACTACTCTTCTGACTTGCTGTGGTGCAATGTGGTGCTCCGCGGAAAGTTCTAGAAAGAACCACCCAGATTACACATCATTTGCTTCTCTGGAGTAACTGGTAGTTATAGCATTCTATTGCGGTATATTAATACGATCGTCCGGGGCAGATGTGTACGGCTGGCCACCATTCCTCCTGTGCTCTCCTTTCTCAGAGGAATTGCTAGAGAAGGTATTTACTTATGGTGCCCATCCTGTTAGTAGGTCAGGTCTCTCTCTCTCCCTGAAACATTTGAGTGGTATTTCCCTTCCTTCTCCCCTTATTGGGTAATCTCCTTTCTCGGAGGAATTGCTATTTACTTATGGTGCCCATCCTGTTAGTAAGTGTCTCTTCTTTGGTTTTCCTTATACTGTCACTAAGGTCTATATTCCCCCTCCCGTCTCTTTCATCGGAATTGCAAATATTACCATAATACTCTCTTTATTTCCCCCACTCTCTGATATAGTCTGCATATTAGTATGGATCACAGATGTATATACCTATATTTCCCCATAAATTCCCCCACACCCTCTCTGTGTATACTCCCATGTATTGATATGAATCCCTGTATGTTACTATGGGTGGTTGATTATTTCCTTGAGGACCACATGAGAACATGGGTGCAAAGGAGTGCATCTCATTGTTCAGCTGGCCCCTTTTGCAGCGTGAAGCCTCAATAGGTCGCTGGAGTGTATACTAATGTACCATTGCGACAGAGTGTAGCAATGCCGGGAGTTTTATTTACTGCAGCCCTTGACAGACATCTGTCTGTGTGTGTGTGACTGACAATAGTGAGTGATGGTGTGTTTATCGCTGTCACTCTGTTTGTATCGTCCACCTCTGCAGGCCGGAGAGCTTGTTGCACGACCACGCCTACCTCCCTCCCTCCCACGTGACACCAGTCACACCATCCTCACCACTCCACCGTCACACCTCCACACGTCCACCAGTGGCCGACAACAAGGTCGGAGATTCTCGGAGTAAACTTACCCCGAAATTGAAGTCGGAGCCGATGGAATTGGGGGAGAGTACTCCGACTCCGCCGGAGGGAGTGACAGACTTCAGGAGATGTGCTCTGTGCAGTGTAACTGGAGATGCACCCTCCATTGTGAGTGTAGAGGGGGAGGAGGAGGGGGAAAGGGAGAGGGAGAGGAGGAAGGGGAAAGAGTGTAAAAGTTCCGAATGAGAAAATATTGCAGAGTGCTCTCCTTCACAGTACGTTAATATCCCCAACTTAGAAAATTTCCCCGACCGTTCTTTAACCATTAAATTTACCCCTCAATTGTTACCTTGATAAGTCACTATCCAGTAACTGGACAGGTTTTGAAAGTGGCGTACTACATCCTCGTTGTTTCTCTTCCCCCCTCATTCTCATTGTGTACCCCTGCAGGGGGCGGGGCGACTCCTCCCCTGTGGTGTCGGAGAGTGGGTCCACGTGAACTGTGCCGTCTGGAGTGCAGAGGTCTACGAAGAGTGCTCCGG